ATTTTCTACAGTTAAATGTTACAGTTTTAGTCTACGAATATCTAGTACCAGAGTTTTTCCCATTGGTCAGGGAATCTAATATCCTTATATGAAATAAAATTATTAAATATTAATATTATATACTGATCTAAAAGACATATATAACTTTAGTTCTGTCAAACTTTAACCCCTAGTGAAAGTATATGATTTTGCGGCAAAAATAAGTCAATGATATCCTAAAAGGAAACTGTGTTATATAGAATATAAAGACTTCGACAAAAATAGAAACAGTAAATATGGTTTTTAAGAAGCTAAGAATGTTGAAACATATCATAACTATGACAGTTATTTTTTGAGAAAACAATGAGAAGAAACGAAAGCATAGCTATATAGAAGATGGAAGGAGGTAGATCATGTTTAGAAGAGGCAGAGAGAGTAAAAGAAAGTGTAGTTGTAAACATGTTTCTCTTAAAAGAAAAGTTAGAAAAAAGAGAGGCTTACATTGCTCAGATCCCAAAGCCTCCGGTGTTAACTTGGTGCAGTGAGGAGTACAATTGCGATCTGTGGCATGGCTATAAAAGGGTCAGTGACAAAGGAAATAAATAAAATGAAAATAAAAATGAAAATGAAAGCACCACCAGCAGTTTGAAAAGGGAAGGGAAGGTGAAACTAATGGTCAATCATTTATGCTCCATTGTTTGGTCAGCTTTTGTAAGTTGTTCCAGAACACTCCGACGTTTGTAAAATCAATTTGTCCTTGTCCCAAGACAACTGTGAGATAGGTACTAATTGATTAAGAGTTAAGAATATCTAACAATATGCATTGTGTTGTGAGGGGCAAGGGAATTTGTTTCCACTCATGAATGAAATTCAAATACAATAAAGATGGATGGAAACTTCTCAAGAGAGAGAATTATAAGGATAATAGATTATGTAATTATAACGAGATAAAAAAGAAATGTCCAAAAATCAATCCTCATTCAAATGTCTTTATATGTGGGAGGGGTTGAGAGCTTCATAATAGTAGAGTCAACAAATATTTTTTTTGAGAAAATTTATATAATTTATAATATTTTATTTGAGTCAATGGTCATTTTGATTTTTTACTTTATAGAACAATATATTATTTCTGAACTAAAAGAAATTACAAAATATTTTGACAAGTATATTTGTTTGAAATTAAAAAAATGTGTGACTAAAACGATAACATTAATATAGATTAAAATAATAGTAAAAAGTTTAATTTTTAAACTTGGTTGATTTTTTTTTTAAATGACTGACTACATTGATAATATTTATGTATATTCTGAAATAAAAATGTTAATAAATAGTTAATTTTGGAAATTTATTTAACATTTTAGAAACTTAATTGGTATTTTTTTTTAATTTTAAACATTAATGTCACGATGTTACCATTTTCACCAATTAAAATGTCAAATTTTTTATTTTATTTTTTATCATTGCTTCCGTTCTTCTTCTTCTTTTCTAAAAATCTTATGAATTTCTTCCACCACTTTTAGTAAGCACAAAAAATTAGCCACTAAAACATTTCATTGTATTACTTAGATCAAATTTTAATTCGAATTTAATTAAATAAATAACATAAAAACATTGTGTTTGAATTTTACATCGACTTTGTCGAAAACTATTTCTTTCAAAGCATAAAAAGTAGGTTTAACTTTAACTAAAAAATTAAAAATACACTTGAATGCAAAGTCATTCTATCAACTAAAAGTAAAGAATGAGTTTTATACTTTTCATGTTTTAAAATAATTGTTTAATGTTTATAAAATATACATCAAACATTTTACAACAAAACTAAAACTCTTTTCTAACGTTCAACGTCGCAAGGCATCTCCTATATTAGTTGAACCTGCACTTCTATTTAAATGGGCACAAGTTTCGACCTTTATGGAAACCCCAATAATTGAAACTTTTTTTTTTTACCAAACTCTTACATTTATAGCTAAGCGTAAAAATTACCAAGTTATTTCTTTGAATAAAACTTATTCGTATGGTTCTGATTTAAATTATTTTTAGAATATTTAAAATTAATTTTAAATAAAATGTTATGTTTAAAAAGTGAAGTATAATTACTTTTAACTTGTAAATATAAACATAATTCCAATCTGACTGTTTTAAAGTAATAAATCCGTGCATAACATGAAATTTTTTATACAAATGGGATTTATTATTATTGTATATGATTTTATTTTGTGTAAAATTTGTAGAAATTTTTCTAATTATTATAATTTTGTTATAACTACCTTCTTATATTTTACATTTTCTTTTATTTCATAAACAGTTCTATCTTTTCTACTAAAGATGGTTAGTTTGTGTTAGACATGTTAAGATTATTTTAAAAATTATAAAGTATTGTAAGTTAGAGAAGAAAAACTTTAAGAAAATAAAATATATAGTTATTTTTTTTATTATATTTCAATTATTATAAAAGATAAATCTTTAAAGTTTGGTTTTATTGTGAATTGGATTTCTTGATATAAGAAAACTCAACACGAATTCGTACTTGATAACTCATTAGTGTGTTGGAAAAGAAGAAGAAGATGAGATTAATTTAACATTCACAATTAAAACTATTAATATCACTTAACATTATAATTCACGATATTAAAATAATGTCTAAATACAGATAGACATTGAATATAATAATAAAAAATATCATGGAATCACTGTAATTTACTCTAATATAAAATTGGTATTCATGAGAGTTGTCCCAAGTTCCTAATAAAAAAGGTGAAATGTTAAAATTATTTAAGTCAATACTCAATAAATGATGTAAAAAAAATCAATAATCATTAAATATAATTTATTGGAATAATATAAATATGGACCTTTTAAGAAAAATGTGAATAGTTTTGACTTACTCTTTAAAGAACTTTATTCTTACATTTAACACTTCAATTAATTAACACTATGATAAGCCTCTTTCATATTATATCTTTATAATAAGTTAGCTGTTTCATAAAATTCAAATTGATTTAACTTTTACTTGTATATGGTTGACAGAAAAATTAAAACTAATATTCTTTTATCTGTTCTAAATATATTTAAACGTACTTGTTAATTACTAATAATTTACAATCAATTTTTTAGTATAATAAATTATTAAAAATCACATATTGGAAAATATAATTACTGATCTTATGCTTGTAAAATATAGCTCTTTATAAAAATATATCACCAATTTCAATAAAATATATTTTTTAAAAAATATTTAAGAAAAAACTATTATCGAAATATTTTATAATAAAGTTGATAATTACCAACATATTTATTTATATTTGTGAAAAATATTAATAATAAATCATTTTCAATATTTTATTGTCAGCCACGAGAATTGTCGAAAGATAAATAAAATTTGGCTAATATTTTTTTTTCTAAAAATTAAACTTGACCACTGTCTAAAGGATTTAATATTAATTTCAACTCATTAAATAACTATAATTTTAATATTTGCTGGTTTGTGGACTCGTATACTATTAATAAATTAGCTTGTAAGATTGTTAGATGATCAAATTCGTTTATAAATTTTAAATAACTCATATATAAATTAATTTATAAAAAATATTTTGATGATATTGAACTTTTTATTTATGTAAAAAATAATTTTACTTATTAAAAAAATTTATTGATTATTTATTTTTTCTATAATTTTTTATTGATAATTTTATAATCTTAGTAATTTAACAATAGAAACGGTGAAATTTAGGGCATAGGTTTGTTGAAAGGCGAAAGCTACCAGTCATTGAGGTAATAGCTCAATAATTGAACGTTTAAAAGAGAAATAAATGGCAAGCACTTTATCTTCTTGAGATTTTACACAAAATAATGAGTTTATTTTGAGTCAAATAAATGAAAATTTACATTATGTTCATGAATTAGTTAGAAAATAAAGATCATATTAATTACAACAAAATTTACTAACTTCAAAAAGATATTGTATAATATATAATATATGTTATTGAACTTCAAAATAAACACAAATACGGTCATGAATAATTTTTTTAAAAGTAATTAATATTTCAATGTTAATATATATATATATATATATATATATATATATTATAATTAGGTTGTGTTAGATTAAATAATAAATTTATGGGAGTAAAAAAATGATAAAAGGTGAGTTGTTTAAATTAAGAGAAGAGAATAATAAAAATAATAAATTTTTTAAAATATACTTATTTGTTATTAATATTTTTTATTATTTTAATATAAATTTAAATTTTTTAATATTATAATAACAAAACAAAGAAAAATATATTAATTAATTTTTTTTTTACATAATCAATATATCTAATAATATAATCAATTATTTTATTGTAAAAAAAATACGAACATTAAATAAATACAATACATAATAAAAGAATACCAGATAATATTTAAATATGAAAATTTTGTAACACAGATTTATATATATCTGGTAGACATATATTTTTAATATAAATTTTATTTATTTTCTATCATTATAATCAATTAAAAAAAGTGTATTACTAAATTTTTATCACAAAGAGAAATATATAATACACAATATCTTTTTAATTAACATAATATTTCTGAGTTAAACTGCGTTAATAAAATTTACATGACAGATATTTCATAATCAACTTAAACATATATAGAAAAATGCTTGATTGCAAGCAAATGGTTATGTTAAAATCCTAATAAGTTTAATTTGTTTGACGTAAATCTTTTACAAGGTACACAAGCGTTAAATGAAGTCTACTGGTATCGGCATGTAATTTCAATATCTTTTGTAAATTATTTGAGGTTAGAAGCTATGTATTATTCAGTGAAATGGTGACTTATGTAAATTCTAAATGATATATCAATTTGAATCAGTTCACGATATTGACCAAACTATAAAATAAAAGAAGTTAGAAAAATAAGCAAAAACGGAAACAAGATTTATTTATAAACATACAAGGGGCCAATATTAAAAATAAAAAAATTATATTAAGTACTACAACTTAAGTTTTGAGAAATTTCTTTCAGAAAATATGGCCATAGATACAAAGGTTAGTCATTTGTAAATAGAAAATAAAGTTTATACAAAATTGTTATGAAAGAAGAACACTATACATGAAACCTTATAATAAACATTTCTCTTTCAATTAAGCTTATCAAATTCCTTCTAATAATATCGGATTAATGGAAATGTTTTCCATGTGTAGAAAAAGGAAATAAAACTTGAACTTGGTATTTGTATAGAGAAAAAGGGGAGTCCCGGGGTTTGGCACGCATCCAGCTTGGCTTGTTGGACTGAGTTGCTCCCAACTTTCACCAACTCTTTCTCTCTCCAACCGATTACGTTTTTCATCACACTAAAGCATTCTTCGTCACGCTGACCTCTTAGTGTTACTCTTCTAAAAAAGATTACACTCTCTATGCTCTGCTACGCTGTTTCTATTCACTCTGCTCCCTCACCGGAACTCGCAAAACCCTAATCGCTTCCGCGAAACCTTCGCTTCAATCTTCTCGGTTCTCGCTCCCTCCTCTCACTTCCGAACAGTTCCACCGCTTCTTTCTTCGATAGGGTACGTCCTCTCACCTTCCGCTGCAATCCATTTAGTGTTGACGAATTCTGACTAATTTTCTCTAGACTCACACTTGTGATTGTCCAATTTGTTGACGTAGTCGCTGCAATTGCGAATTCCGTTGAGTGCTTCGTCTGTGCAGATGGCAGGGGCGGAGAATAGTGATGGGAGCGAAACTGAACGGGAATTAGCGGGGAATGGCGATAACGGTTTCGTGGAAGATGTGGAGTCTAGTGCCTCTGCTGATTATGAAGGGAATGACAACATTTCTTATGCGAACGTCTTGCGTTCGAGGAACAAATTTGCTGATGCTCTTGCTATCTACGAGCGTGTCTTGGAGAGGGATGGTGCAAATGTGGAGGCGCTCATTGGGAAAGGAATATGCCTTCAGATGCATAATAAGGGAGGGCTTGCGTTTGAGAGTTTTTTTGAGGCTATCAAACTGGATCCTCAAAATGCGTGTGCTCTCACGCATTGCGGCATTTTGCACAAGGACGAAGGTCGCCTAGTGGAGGCTGCTGAGGTATGCCTACCACTGTTTAATAACTTTGGTTGCTGAAATTGTTGCTTAGTTTTTTGTTTTGTTTCGTTTTGTTTGTTTGTTCAAAATTATAAACTGTTGGCAATTTGGATCATGTGTTTTTTACATAAATAGAATTTTCCCGTTCTGTCAGAGCTTGCATTTTTCACTAGTCGGAGTTTGAGGTTGTAAAAGGTTTATTTTTTGATTTCACGTCATCTCACTTCATACGCAGGGCGGTTTAATGTAGTAGATTCACTGTGGCGTATAATGTAGCTTTGTTTATGACTAGAGTCTTATTGTATTTTGATTATGCGCTGGTTATGAAGTTCTCAAAGTTGTAGACTTGTAGTTCTACTGAATGTAAGTATTATATATATTAGCAGAATGGGAAGGTAGTGTTCGGTGAACTAGGATATTTATGTCAGTTTATGCTAACATAGCTAAAGTTATTATTCTGCTACTAGGCTGGGATGTTGTATCTCAATCGGAAATGATTATTTTTGAAATGTTAACTGTATCAAATTGTTACTTTAGTGACACAATGAAAAATAGTTTGAACTATATCATATATGCGTGGCAATACAGTGTTCAATATAATAATTTCCAATTGCCAATAGAGTGCATAGAATAAGTGATTGATGGAGTGAAATGAAATCCTTCTTGCAGAAGAATGATAGAGGGCAGTGGAATAATCAAATAGGGTGCATGTAGTAGTGATACTCTTCCAGTTCCTTTTAATTTAATAATTTGTTTGTGTGAATTGATGGGTGAGGGGGTAAAATGCCGGGAATATCTCCACTAATAAGGCACTAGAAAAGTACACAAGTGAACTTGACACTATACTCAACCAATGTTATAAAAAATTGCCCATGGTGGAAATTGGTTGCAGATTTTTCACTGACCGTCATAGCTTGGCAGTGGCGATGTGGGATTTCCATCGTGGCCAGATGTCCCAGAATGGTGTTACAGATTAGTGGTGGCAGAAATTGTGCCCCAGTCCCACACCGCAGCCCTGTGCCTCCTTAGAATGGAAGAAGTAGAAATTGTGGTTCAGGGCATCCAGACCAAGATGAAGGGCAAAAGAAACCCTAATTTTCTTAAAACTGATGTGGGTCCTTTAATACAAACAAGCCCAATAGATTTAAAAAAAACTAACCACCAGCTGTGACCTGTTCCTCCACCCTGTACTGCTGCTGCTTGCAGCGTTTTCTGTCACCATGAGCCCACTGCAGTGGCACCATATGTTCTCCCAATGCACTCCCTTAACATATCCTGCTAGCTTCTCATTTTATATTTTATTTTGCTATTACCTCGTGTGTTTTGCTCTTATTCTCCCCTTTTCCCCTTACTCAATACTCATTCTTTTTATCTGAGCCTCCTATTCTCCACTATCCCAATGGCAAGTCAGCAAGGAAGTTCAACTTGGTTGTGTTTTGCTTTGAATTTATTGCTTTTAAACTTGCTATTATTAATTGAATGATTGTTTTCAATATTATTGCATTGTTATTATATTTCTGCTTTTCTTTTTTATTTATCTATATGTATATATTGTATTTTTTTGTTATCTGCGATCCTTTTGCCATAACCTTTCGATATATTTTTTCTAAAGGATTTTTTGGTTGTAGATATTTTTGTTATCCGATATCAAGAACAATGCACTTAATCCGAAAATCTTAAGACATAGATTTGCTAGTCTTTTTCACTTACATGTTCCTCAATGTGCTTATTTTTACCCAATTTGGTTCACATTCTCACTTACAATGCAACGATGTACTTATCATGCTTTCATTATTTTAAGGAGAATGGAATTGATGAAAGAAAAAACCAATGAAATGGTGAATCATGTGTTAACATCAATAACACGAAATTACACTTATTCATCCATGTTTCTCATGATTCAAAGTCGTAGCTTCAACACAAGATACAATTGGTCCATACCATGCTAATGTCTGTAAAAGTTGAAATATGTGTGGGATTTATTATTGTTAATGAAATGATTTACTTGGAACAGTCATATCAGAAGGCTTTACGAGTGGATCCTTCATACATAGCAGCTGCTGAATGCCTTGCCATTGTTTTAACAGATATTGGTACCAACACAAAGCTAGCTGGAAACACTCAGGATGGAGTTCAAAAATATTTTGAAGCCCTCAAAGTAGATCCACACTATGCTGTAATTCTCTTGTATTATTATTACTTTGCTTTTATCATTAAAGCTATAAATTTTGTATAGCTTTCACTTTGCATACTATATATTTTTATTTTATATGGACTTTGCAGCCTGCATACTATAATCTTGGTGTGGTCTATTCAGAAATGATGCAATATGACATGGCCCTCACATTCTATGAAAAAGCTGCATCAGAGAGGCCAACTTATGCTGAAGCATATTGCAATATGGGTGTTATTTTTAAAAATCGTGGTGATTTGGATTCAGCTATTTCTTGTTATGATAGGTACTCTATATATCTTGAGCTGGGAGTTCTTTTTTTAAGCCAAGAACCTGTAATAATTTTAATTTTATTTGTTATTTTAATGACTTGACTTGAAATGTTGGGTCTTATAATCACGTGATGTTTTGTGGCAGGTGTTTATCTGTTTCACCTAACTTTGAGATTGCAAAGAATAATATGGCTATAGCTTTGACGGATTTAGGAACGAAGGTGACACATCTAAAATTCAACATAATGATAATTATGCATTGGCTATTTTTTATGTCCTCTTTATTTTTCAACTAAAAGGTAAAATACTTTAATCTTCGCCTTGCCTTTTATAAAACTTTTATAGAGGCATTTTGTTGCTGATATCTTAATGCAATGGTGGTAAATTTATTATGAAGATTGTCATATAACAAAACGAATCGGATGCAATGTAGAGTTGTGTGTTTGGTGGGGGTGGAAACATTGGATTTGTTGCTTAATAACCAGCACTTTAAACTTATTTCATCTTAATTTTAAAGGGATTTGAGGAAATACAAATAGTCTCTTTAATTGTTGGGAATTGAGAAACAATTCTGGTAAGATCCAAATTTATTACTTGAGACCAGTAATTACTGCGTGGCAATTAATGTTCCTACTTCTTATATTAGTAAGTTACTGCCTTGTGACTTGGTCACTCATTCACTTGCCTTTTTATAGGGGGGAGGGGTAGATGGCTTCATCTATTTAGTTCTTCTAGAACCCTACAGTGGTCACACATAGAAGCTCCATTCTGTTGTTCTCCTTGTTTTCATCCTTAACATCTTTGGGTCATTTCTATCTTATTAAGATCATTATTTTTGTTTATAGGTTAAATTGGAGGGGGACATCAACCAAGGTGTGGCTTTGTATAAGAAAGCTCTATATTACAACTGGCATTATGCTGATGCCATGTATAATCTTGGGGTTGCTTATGGTGAGATGCTTAAGTTTGATATGGTAAGTCTGGTACAAGCATGCCTATATTCTACCATTTCTGCATGTATTTTATTAAGATACATCAGATGTGCATATGACTCTGTACTAATTATATTGGTGGAATTTCAATCTACTGTAGGCCATTGTATTCTATGAACTCGCCTTTCATTTCAATCCACTTTGTGCGGAAGCATGTAACAATCTTGGTGTTATATATAAAGATCGTGAAAACCTTGATAAAGCTGTAGAATGCTACCAGGTAACAGTGACCACCCTTTCATTTTTTTTCACTATGTCTGGATTGAATAAATTTTTAATAATTTATTATTCTTGCTATGCAGCTTGCTTTGTTAATCAAACCTAATTTTTCACAGTCGTTAAATAACCTTGGTGTTGTATACACTGTCCAGGTTGAGTATGGTACAATTCCTGAATTTTTGAGTTGTCAAATATCTTCGGTAAGTGATAATCTTTTCTTCCTTCTTCAGGGTAAAGTGGATGCTGCTGCAAGAATGATTGAGAAAGCTATCACTGCAAATCCGACATATGCAGAAGCATACAATAACCTAGGTCTTTTTATCTTTTCTCTAGTTATTATTTGTTTGGTTATTGTGGTTTCACTGCATTTAGCAGTGATTGTCTTAGTCAAGGTTGTGCAAATTTATGAATGGCAACTTACCAGCATAATTTTAGACTAGGTTATTCTTTGATCAGATATGAATTGTATTATTAATGTGCAATGGTTTTTTGACTCATATTTTTCCATGTTTCCTGGTTGCTATGAATCAGTTCAATGGTCATGTATCTCTCAAGTTATTTTATCAATTATGTTAAAAAATTTCACCATGTCTTCTGGCTGCAAAATGAGTGGTGCGGGTATTGACGCTGACATTGTTGATTGTTCACTTAGGACTAGTCAAAGGGATATAGTGCATGGAGTTGAACTAGAGTTCCATATTTGAATTATGGGATTTTGATGTGTGGTTTATAAGGACTCTGTCTTAAATTAATAAGACTTTTATCACGGTCAGAAAAGATGATAGCAAAGAATGCTGGTATAGAAGTAAATTATGCTTTTTTTTCTTATCGGTTGGGTTGTCAATGTGTTAGATAAATAGTTATTTTATTGATAGGTTGTTAGAGATTAACCAAGTAGCTGGTTGTAAATCTTGTCTTGAACAATGTAAAACCAAAGAAATCTTATATTGAAATGATATTAGTGCTGCTGAAGCAAGGGTAAGATAAGTAAAATTGCTATGAAACATTATTTGTACCAGTATAATGTTCTATGCAGTAGTTTTGAAAAGTGCTTGTATTCTTTACATTGATTTATGTTGGATTCTGCAAGTCCTCGCCCCCCGCCTTAATTGGTTTTTGTTGTCATTGTCTTTCCCTTAATATTAATTACACAATAGTTGTTTCAAAGGGCATAAGCCAGTGAAATCCTGAGCACATCTTTCATCATATGCTTATCTTCTCTATTTTTGTATAGGAGTTCTTTATAGAGATGCTGGTGATATAGCTCGAGCAATTGATGCCTATGAGCAGTGTCTTAAGATTGATCCTGATTCTCGAAATGCTGGCCAGGTGTGGTGCATAATGGGTGATTTTTCATCCATTTTTGTGTTCTGTAAATTGTTTAGATGTGTGCAATCATGCATAACACCAAATCTTCTTTAGGAGTAGGGTTATTGACGAGCTTGGATTCATGTTAAATTAGACATATTGTTGATGGTGCCTATCATGTATGCATATTATAATCATCATGATTAGAGTGTTGAGGTTAAGTTTTCTTGTGATAGAGTGAGCTTCTAGTTTGGGATATTGGTTGTAAAGTAATAGAATAAAATTTGTGTTTAAAAGGTGAAGAAGTGTGTGGAATAAATGTGTAAAGTTGCTACAATTTTGTGGCAGCAACAAAGACAGCTAAGGAATTTTTTATGGATATCATAAAGCTTTATAGAGACAAAGGAAGAGTAATATTGAATTTCCGAAGGGCAAGAGAGCAAGAATGAGTACTTGTAAATCTTGTTACTTAGTGTGCAGAGAAAGTATTAACATCATCTATCTATTTGTCTGTGAGAATTATAATTTTGAATCTTGATTACTGTACACAATATTTACTTTTATCTCATGACATATATGACCATCATGCAATTCTAAATATCCGATATTTTTCATGCTTTAAGAATTATTTGCTTTGTGTGAAGATGGGTATGGAAATCCCTTTAGATAGTGATTTTTTTTCTACTGCTTAGTAAATGGCATCCCTGCATAACCAATTAAGATTAAATCGCCAAATTCTGATAAGCTTTTAATATTTGTCCTGCCCAGAATTATGCTTCCAATCTATTTAAAATTTTCTGGTTTGGACTAACTATTTTAGGAATCCATGAAAGTTGGGTACGGAAATCAATAGAATTTAGATGGTCCTTATTTTTTTTTGTACTGCTTAGTAAATGCCAGTACTGTGTAACCAATTAAGATTAAACGTCCCAATCTTGATATGCTTTTAATCCTTTTAACTGGCCAGAATAATGCTTCCAGTCTATTTAAATGTTTACAGAGGATTTTAGGAGTTTAAAGCACGACCTTATATATACTTTAAACTCCCTACACTACATGTCTGTTTGTTTACACACGCGCGCGCACACATAGAGATTGGTAATCTAATGGTCTAAAATAATATCATAACAATTAGATTACCAAATATTAAATGGGATGAAGAGTAAGTCTCTAACTCATACTTTAGGAGTAAGTCCCTCTCTCTCTCTCTCTCTCTCTATATATATATATATATATCTATATCTATATCTATATATATATATATATATATATATATACATATATATCATGGAGAGATTCATTCACTCAAAGAGTAAGACTTATAGACTTACCATTCATTTTCTATTAGTCTAATGGTTTAAAGTGGTAATTTATGTTAACCATTAAATTACAAGAAACTGAATGATGAATATATAGAGTAAGTTTTTTAACTCTTGAAATGAGTGAATCCTTTTTCATTAATACACACACACACACACACACACACACACACACACACACACACACACACACACACACACACATATATATATTGTTGAGATCTGTTGTTCATGTATCTTTTTGTATGTTCTTTAGACTAGGGTTAAGGGTTTGGGCTGAGACCTATATCCTCTCTATTGTATCTCTTTTTTTATAAATACAATGTAACAGTACCTTTGGTCATTGTATCAAACCCTAAATAAGTTTTTTCAAGTATGTGTGTGTGTATACACATACATACATATGTTTTACCCATAATTTGAATGTATTTTTTTGACATATTGACAAAAGTTCTAACACAATGGATGGATGAATGTATTTTGTCCTTTGCAGAAGTTATTTCTTGATTATTGGAGCTTTTATCCTCTGTATTGCATGTCTCATTTTAATGTACATAATATGCAGAACCGCTTACTTGCAATGAATTACGTAGATGAAGGAATTGATGACACACTTTTTGAGGTTCACAGGTTGAAGCTTTCTCTAATGAACTTCTTTTATACTTAAGATTTTATCATTGGTAATATTGAATGAACTTCATTGAGTTTTCATAAATGTTCAATGACGGATGTAATGCCCTTAGGTGTTGGAAAAAAGTACTTGTTATTGTCTGATATCTATATAATTTTTACCATTTTATTAGCAGCAGAGGTCCCTTGCTTATAACTATGTCTAAGCATGAAAGAGTAATGAGCAACATGTTTTCTACATAGTTTCTGTTAGGAAAAAAACACAATATTATAAATTCAAAACTTGATTAAGTTTGAAGACCAAACATTTGGTGGTTATCAACTTCTAAGCTGAAAAAGACTTGGTTGTCAAATTTTGGAGGAAAATGTTTTTTATGCTTTTAAGTTGAATCCATGTTTGGGACATCCCTTGAGGTCTCTTACCTCAGTCATTGTGTTATAGACTGTTTCCTGTGGCTTCTCAAATGTTTATTTCCACTGAAGGAATCTGCCAGTCTGATACACAAATAGTTGCAGGATAGGATAACAGTTGTGAGTTCAGAATAGTAATTTTCCATTTTATGTTATAAACCTTTAAAATATTTAATAGTATGTTACTTTATGTTGAATTTGGAAATTATGCTTCCTGTATGATCTATTTGCTCCATGGTTTTAATGAAGGATAATTTGAATTACCAATTCATGATTTGTAACATTTACCGTTCTTATGTAGCAATATACTTTATGTGCAAAAATAGGATATGTAACTTGTAAACTATATTGAGTTAAATGTTTCTATGCAGGAGTTGGGGTAGACGATTCATGAAACTATATCCACAGTACACATCGTGGGGCAACTCAAAAGATCCTGAACGGCCCCTTGTGATAGGCTATGTTTCGCCTGATTATTTTACCCATTCTGTGTCATATTTCATAGAAGCGCCTCTTGTCTATCATGACTACTCCAATTTCAAAGTGATTGTTTATTCTGCAGTTGTCAAGGTATCAATTGTGAACCCACAAATTATACTATAACCTATATTAATGTATTTGGTCATTTCAAAGCTTCTGCCTTGCATTTGATTGTTTCTCTATCCTATATTGACATAAGTTGTCTAAAAATTCAAACATAAAAAAGTTCATAGTTGGTTGGCTTTCAGAGATATGCATATTTATCTGTGTCTCACCTCCTTTAATATGGGAAATGTAAAACTATTATTGGAAGAGGTTGTTTTTTCTTCCCCCTAACCAACAATTATTTGTTCTGGGTGATCATTTAAACATATTAGGAGGAGAAAAATTATTAATCTATGGTCTAGGAGATTGAAATACTTGATTTTGGAACTATGTTTACCTTATTTAAAACCAACGTGACACATTGATAGGATTTTCTTTTGTGGTTCAGTTAGTGGTCATACTTTCCAATAGGAAAACTGTGATGGATCAATAGATAGTTAAACATTAAAATAGTTAATAGAAAAAAAAAAGTGGTCTTAATTTTCGTACCCTATCCTGGTTTCTTTTTGCAAATCATAATTAATGTGTTAGGTTATACAGTGCTAAAATATTCATAATTTCTACTAAGCAAAGGTTTGTTGAGCAACAAGTGTATGGTATATTAGCTTCCTGCCAATAATGTAAAATGGAACCTTGAAACTTAATTTCACAAAAGTCTTCCATTGTGGTTCCTATTCCAATCATAATTGATTTGATAGGTTGTACAATGTTAGAATATTCAGAATTTAACTGAGCCAAGATTTGTTAAGCAACAAGAGTCTGATACATTGGGTGCTCTTAAAGCAAAATGCAAAATGGAACTTGAAAGCGTTGCTTTAGTTCTGAAGTAGATGTGGAAGTGGGAGGCAATAATTCATTGAAATCATGTAGTAGATCATGAAGTTTTCCCAAATACTCAGCCATGCAACCATCAAGACGTTCAAGAGCAATGACATCGAGATTTTGATAAACACTATAAAGAAGTTGAGAGTCATTTGTGTAGAGTAGTCAGGCTTGTTCCCATACTCTAGAACAGGTCTCATAGGAGCAATATTAAGGGAAGGATGAATAGGCAACTTAGAACACTATATATCTGAGAATCATTTTTGGACCAAGAAGGACAATTTGTTTCACCAGTGGAGGTTTTCGTCTGAGTGAGATGGTCAACATAATCCTGACTCCTAAGCCAAAACTTAATATCAGAGGCCCAAGTGTCATAATTTGTGCTATCTAACTTTCAATGAAGAGGGGAACACTGACATAGTTTGTAAAGATTGAAAAGTCAGACTTAGCAGCACCAGCAGCAGTCATGATCCCGCTGAGGAGAGAGAAAAGTGGTCCCAAAAAGGTGAGAAATGTGATACAAGTTCTGATCACAAAGGCCAGGACAAATCTAGAAAGAGGACAACAAGGCCTGTTTAGCACTGATGTTCACTCCTGCAAAGCTGGTTGAGCCAGTAGCCACACATGATGGTTGGGGACTTGGGCAGAAGGCATCTTGTTGCACCATTTGGCACAGGACCAGTGGCGTTGTGATTGTTCAGCTTGGGCGATATTGGTGGTGTGCTTCTTGGTCAGAACGACAACTGGAGCAGTGACAGTGACTGGCAGTGGAAACAATGGAAAAGATAGCCGAAACGGAGCTATGACAAAGAGAAAGAAGGTTAGAAATCGGAATGAAACTTGGTTTTGGGAAACATTTTGGCACCTACAACGAGTCCATCGGGAAGACACAAAGAGATTTAGACTCTAGATACTATGTTAGAGTACAAAGTAGGGAGGCATAAGAAATAAAATCCCTATGTGTTTTACACAGCAAAGGAACATATGTATCTATAGATATCATCGTACAAAGAGATGGGCCTAGACCTATATATTTAGTTAATTTTAACAATATCGTTATCTTGTGTTTTTCTTAGGGTAGTGTTTGGTCCAACTTGTTTTATACTTTTTGTCTCCTTAAAATAAAAAGTTGGGCCAAACACCTTTATTTTTTTATAAAAAGAGCCTAAAAAAACTAATAGATTTTTTTTTGCAATGAAATCATTAAAATAAGTAGCTACTAAAAATCCACTGAGAGTCATTTTTTAACTTCCTTGTTTTTTCACTTTACCTCATTTCTTCATTGTCTTGAAACTTTTAAAGCTTGTAAGCTACCTAAACTTCCACACTTTTGCCTCTCCCTCCATGTCTCCTCGTGACAGGCCTCATTTTTTTTAATTGTATGCTCCTCCCTTTTATTCACTGTTTTGACATCTTTTTTTTATTTGTTACCTCCTATGCTATTAATTTTTTTTTTAATATAGGGGCATACGAGGAACAAAAGTTGTAATGCTTATGCATTTAATTGTCGTTACATTATGAATTATTGACCATAATAGTTATATTACTTTTATATAAGATCATAATTAAAGAGCTTTTTTAATGCTTAGAGGAAAGGTATTTATAGTTTTTCAAAATTAGAAGTTTTAATATCTATTTTTATATTTTTATCATTAATATAATATTGTACAAATTAATTCAACCTTCGATAATATTATTTTTATTTCATAAATATTTTATTCCATTTGACAGAGTAATCAATTTTGGATCAAACTAAAAATTTTACTTTTCTTTGATTAACTAATCTAAAACAAAGCTAACAAACAACTTTACTTAAATTTAAGCTCTTGATTTTATCTTTAACCCAAAAATAAGTATGACTTAGCAGTACTTTTTGAGAGAAACGAGAATAGCTTCGTGGAATAAGCTTTTACAATTACCAAACAGCAAGATGCCTCAGCAGCAATAGAGCCTAGCTGGGTTAACATTCTGACTTGGTTAAATTAACATAATTTGCATGTCTATAGAATTTGTAATAGTATACATTCTTTCTTCAATTCTCTTTTCTTTACTTTTATAATTTGGATTTGATTTTCATGCTGTAGGCAGATGTTAAAACCATTAGATTTAGAGAAAAAGTTACAAAGAAGGGTGGTATCTGGAAAGATATTTATGGAATTGATGAAAAGAAAGTTGCCAACATGGTTAGAGAAGATGAAGTTGATATTTTGGTAGAACTTACAGGTCATACCGCGAACAATAAATTGGGGATGATGGCATGTCGGCCTGCACCAATTCAGGTGTGTTTTGACTTTACAATATTTATATGTAGATTTGGTCTCTTTGTTTTTCAGCTTGTAACTTCTTATCCCTTGTTACTATATTCTTTTATCCAGGTTTTCTATCCAACCTTTGTTTAGTCGGATGTTTATTCTTGTGAAGCTGAAAATTTGGATACTGCAGCTCCTTTATTAACTAATAAACTTGTCATTTCTCATTTCTCCCCGTGACTTAATATGATTTTAATTTTTTCAAATTGAATGGTTATAAGAGTGTTTAGTTTATCCTAGCCAGTAGCAACCAGTCAATTTACTTTCCTTAAATTTTTTAATATTTGACGAGCTGCAAGGCCAAAATCCTGAAGATGTCTTTTCATTTATCCATACATGCTTACACACACACACACACACTTCTAGTAAATGATTTTTGTTTCACCGATAAAAATAGTAATCTCAATGTATATATGCAGCACTATATTTTTAGTTATGAAGTTTGTGATATGATGTGTCATGTATCATGCATAACAACATTCACTGTGCTATTTGCTATCTTTTTATGTGTGTATTTATTTGATCTATGCAAAATTGTGACTTGTTTTGCTTTGCAAGCAGGTGACTTGGATTGGTTATCCCAATACAACAGGATTGCCTACAATTGATTATAGAATCACTGATTCTTTGGCAGACCCTCCTGAAACAAAGCAGAAGTAGATCTCTTCAAGAACTTCTGTACTTTCTTGTCATTGACCTATACTAGAAAACTTTTATATAAGTCTTGGTATTGGTTATTTTCTTATAGTACTTTTCTTTAGTTACAGACATGTCGAGGAGTTGGTTAGATTGCCAGAATGTTTCCTTTGTTACACCCCTTCCCCTGAGGCTGGTCCTGTCTGTGCAACTCCAGCGCTTTCCAATGGCTTCATCACATTTGGCAGTTTCAACAATCTTGCCAAGGTTGCAATTATGTTGAAGCATGTTATGTATTTTGTTTTTTGTTTTTCAGGATAAAATGTTAAGATAATAAGTCATATATCCTCTGATGTGTGTATTTTCATTTCATCAGATTACACCAAAGGTATTGCAGGTTTGGGCAAGGATACTGTGTGCAATTCCGAATTCCCGCCTTGTGGTAAAATGCAAACCATTTTGCTGTGATAGTGTGCGACAGAGATTCCTTTCAACACTAGAGCAGTTAGGCTTAGAACCGCTACGTGTTGATCTTCTGCCCCTTATTCTTCTTAACCATGATCATATGCAGGCCTATTCTCTTATGGACATCAGGTAATATCTTTATTTTGTATCCCTTGAGTGTTTCTATGGTCCTGCTTAAACTCAGATTTCCGTAGGTGTGCTTCTTTTATGTGTTGATAGCATGTCTTGTTTTTATTACTAGTACTTTCATTTTCCTGGTGTTCTTAGCGTGCTTTAAACCTCTTTATTCTCCTTATTTTTGTCAATCTTCAGTGTTTCTTCTGATTCTTTTTGGCAGGGTTTTGAACTTGTTTATCTATACTTTCTCTGCAAGCTAAATTAGAAGCTTACAACAAAATAAAAAATAGCATCCTAAAATTCTGAAATTTTTTCAATAATGTTTGTTTCCCATGCTAACCACAGTATGGACACTTAACTCGTCAGACATATAGGGAATTGTTTTTAAAAGAATTAGAGAATTGAGTGTTTTACCTTTTATTCTAATAGTCTGTCTATATCTGTTAAATGGGTTGTGGCTATGCCATACTGGAGCTATATGATATGTATACATATAGCAAATGTACCAGTGAAGATTCTATTCATGAATGCATATTAAAATGTTGTCTGTCAGTCGTCATTCTTCCAACTTATTTAATTTGAAGCAATATAAGATGTTTAATATACAATAAGCACATCTTTTTATATTTGTTAATATGTTAATGGACAATTGAGAAACTACTTGCATTCTCATTTAGATTATGCTTATGACTTTTTTATCACGGGTTTTCTACGTGCAGTGGGTTTATTCTTTATCAATCATGGTTAAGATTCTATTATTTCATTGTCGATTATTTGTATTTCTAGAAAAACGGATGACTATGCAACATATGTCTGTGATTTTGATAAAAGGATGCTATGCACTCTGTTTGGTCCTGTGATACCTTGTATAAACTCTTATGCCTTGTTTCATGTAGTTTGGATACATTTCCATATGCTGGAACAACAACTACTTGTGAATCTTTATATATGGGAGTTCCATGTGTCACTATGGCTGGTTCAGTACATGCACACAATGTTGGTGTTAGTCTTCTAACCAAAGTTGGTGAGAAGCTCTTCATGATATTTGTTTATTGTCAGTATATACATATTCTTCTTCTTCTTTAGAGTTTTGTACCATAGTCATTCTAATTCATGTGTGCAACCATAGTAATCAATAGCAGATAGGGTTGCGGCTAACCCCAAAACATCTATAGCAATATAGCTGTGGTGCATGACCGCTATTGCGGTCTCAAGTATATTTATATGACATGAGGTGTGTGTATGCTGAAAAATAAAGAAAGCCACCTACAATTTAAAGCATTCTCATTAAGTTTCATGACCAAACAAGATGTAGAAAACAGTTAAAGATGCAATACGGGACACTTTGTCTAAAACAACAAAGGAAATCAAATTAAAAAGGTTTAAGCCTACTAAAGCAAGTTAGTAGACTAAATTGTAACAACATTTAAACATCATTGTTTTCAACTGCAATGTCAAGCATTGTACATCCTCATCTTCATCACCTTGAGTGTTGAAAAATTATTCCTCCTCTTATTCCTCTTCACTTCCACTTTCATTGTCATGTTCCTCTTGCTCGTGCTTGATTTTCCTTGCACCGTTGCAGCTAAACAGAAAATAAAAGCTATAAAGAATTGATAGCAATGGCCCTGTAGAGGCAGATGCGGCCCTTAGCACAGTGGAAAAGACACCTAAAAGAGGACACAAGCAACGCACTTACCTTTGTGACTATGTCACCAAATAGCAATATCTCTAAGTGATTTAGTATTTTTTTCTTTGCTGAGTTGTAATTTCCGTTAGAGATTCCCTTTTCAGTATGTGATACTTTCTGTTTTTTCACAACCCACGGAAAGTCAATCATTTGATGGCTGAGTATTGTTAAATACAGGAGGAATGAATGAAAAGAAGAAGTATTTTCCTTTTCTCTCTCTATTCTTCTAGGAGGTCCCTTGTTCCTCGAAACCAAGGCAATTCTCTATCCCTCACAATTTGGTGCTTTCATTGAGTTCATTTCCATGGCTGAACACAACACCCGTTCCAAGACCATCGAGGAAGCCATCCTCCGCCTCACCCAAAATCAAATCATCCTCACCAACTCTCGGAACGAGCTTAACTCTAAGCTTGATTCCATCATCACCCAACTTTCTCAACCTGACCCCTCCGGCCCTCCTTCCCCCCACCACTTAACCACTCTTCCACTTTCTTCAAGCCTCACATGAAGTTAGACGTCCAACAATTTGATGGCCATGATGCTACGAGATGGATCTTCAAGATCAATCAATTTTTTTAATTCCATTCAACCGTGGATGACGATCGCCTCAAGGTGGTTTCCTTCTATATGGAAGGTGCCGGTCTCAGCTGGTTTCAGTGGATGCACAAGAATGAAATGATTCAGTCTTGGCCCAGTTTTCTTCAAGCTCTTTAAACACGCTTTGCTCCTTCCTACTATGAAGATCCTCGTGGTCTTCTTTTCAAGCTCACTCAAAAAGGTACTGTTAATGATTACCTTACTGAGTTTGAACGATTGGTTAGTCGTGTTGTTGGTCTTCCTCCTTCCTTTCTCTTGAGCTGTTTTATTTCTGGACTCTCACCTGCGATAAAACGTGAGGTTTTGGCATTGCAACCTCTCACCTTTACGCACGCTGCTGCTTTGGCCAAGCTACAAGAGGATAAGTTTTAGGATTTGCGTAGTTCTGCAAGGCCCCGCCCTTTTTTGGCACAACCATTTTCCTCCGTCCCCTCTGGTACTCCGACTCGCCCTCCTCCACCCTTACTGCCTTCTCCCCCCAAGACCAATTACAAGAAACTCACCCATGAGGAGATGCTAGCCCGTCGAGAGAAAGGGTTGTGCTACAACTGTGACGAAAAGTTCCACCCTAGACATCGTTGTAAGGCTCGCTTCTTTCTCTTAGTTGCTGAGGTTCCTGATGATGAAGCTTCCATTTCCTTGGAGCCTTTGATGGATCCTGACCCAGATCCCCTATCCCTTGAAAATGCGCCCCAAGAGCTCTCTTCAGCCTAAATCAGTTTCAACGCCTTATCGGGCCTTCCCGCTCTAGAAGCCCTTCGACTATTGGGCCTTATCTCTAAGAAGCAAGTGACAATCTTAGTTGATGGGGGAAGTACGCATAATTTCATACAGGATCGTGTGGCTAAATTCCTCTATCTGCCCATGCAACCCACACCTCCTTTGCAGGTGATGATTGGTAATGATAGTGTTATTGAATGCCTTCATGTGTGTCCTAATGTGTAGGTCTCCATTCAGGATCACGTTTTTGTTTTGGACTTGCATGTTCTACCCATTAGTGGTGCAAATGTGGTGTTCGGCATCCAATGGTTCGGCATCCAATGGCTTAAGCCATTAGGCCCTATAGTTACTGATTATTCCTAGATGTCTATGCGGCATCCAATGGCTTAAGCCATTAGGCCCTATGATTACTGATTATTCCTAGATGTCTATGCGTTTCTTGAAGGATGGCCACTTTGTTGAATTAAGGGCGAATTCTCCACCTGGGCCTTAAGACATTTCGGCCCACCAACTTAAACACATTTTTCAGACTAATTCGGGGGCCGCTTATTTCCATATACAAGTTCTACCTTCCTCCTCTCCTTCAACCGTGACCACTAATACTACCCCTTCACACACCAATCCTCATATTTCCTCTCTACTTCACAAATACCTCTCTCTTTTTATTACCCCCACTTCTTTACCACCACCACGCCCAACTGACCACCATATTCATCTTCTACCCAATTCCTCATCCGTCAATGTACGTCCCTACCGATACCCTCACTTTAAAAAATGTGAGATTGAGAAACAAATCGATGAGTTGCTTCAGAGTGGGATGATTCAACCTAGCCATAGCCCTTTCTCTTCCCCTGTACTCCTTGTCAAATAGAAGGATGGGAGTTGGCGATTTAGTGTGGATTTTAGAGCTCTTAATTCCATCTCTGTGAAGGATAGATTCCCACTTCCTACAATCGATGAGCTCTTGGATGAACTAGCTAGTGCGACGTGGTTCTCTAAATTAGACCTTCGACAAGGTTTCCATCAAATCCGAATGCATGATGCTAACATTCACAAGACTGCCTTCCGTACATACATGGGTCACTACGAGTATAGGGTCATGCCCTTTGGTCTCTACAATGCCCCTTCCACCTTCCAAGCGACAATGAATGACTTATTGAAACCTTTCCTCTGCAAATTTGTCATCGTCTTCTTCGATGATATCTTGGTTTATAGCACAACCTTGGCAGACCACCTTCATCATTTAAAGAAAACCTTTCAGACCTTGCTCTCGGGTCAGTTTTTTCTCAAGGGTTCTAAGTGCATATTTGGCCAACAACAACTCGAATACATGGGGCACATTGTCTCTGCTGAGGGGGTAGCAGCAGATCCATCCAAAATTGAGGCAATGGTTCAGTGGCCAACCCCTACTTCAGTCAAATCTTTACATGGATTCTTAGGATTGACAGGGTTTTATCGCCGCTTCATCAAGGGGTATGCCTCTATTGCTGAACCACTTAATACTTTGTTGAAACGTGATAATTTCCTTTGGGGTCCTACTGCTCAATCTGCCTTTGATCAGCTCAAAATGGCTATGACTGAGGCTCCGGTTCTGGCTCTTCCAGACTTTAACCTTCCTTTCCAACTTGAGACTGACGCATCAGGTTCTGCTATGGGTGTTGTTTTGATGCAACAGAACCATCCTATTGCATTCTTTAGTAAGCCTTTTTGCCCCAAGTTACTCCGTTCTTCTACATATGTCCGCGAGTTACATGCTATCACTACGGCTGTTAAGAAGTGGCGCCAATATCTATTGGGTCATCCTTTTGTCATACTCACAGTAGTCTTAAGGACTTAATGTCTCAAGTTATTCAGACCCAAGAACAACAGGTTTACTTGTCCAAATTACTTGGGTATGATTACACTATCCAGTATAGAGCAGGGAAACACAATGTGGTAGCAGACGCACTTTCTCGTCCACTGTCCCAGGACAATATTTCATCCTATCAATGCCTCGTTTTCTTTTCTTGGACAAGCTCCGCAAATCTCTGCAAGACAGCCCTAAATACGTCTCTCTCTTGGCAAAGGTGCGTTCCAACCCTGCATCATACCCTCTTTACAACATTCATAATGATCTTTTGTTGTATGCAGACAAGATTTGGCTGAATCAGGGCAATCCTTTCATTCCTTTACTCATGGAGGAATATCACAATACTCCCTTGGGTGGTCATATGGGGATTTCCAAGACTTTGGCGCGCATTCAGGCCAATTTCTTTTGGAAGAATATGCGATCTACTATTCATACTTTTGTCTCTCAATGCACCACTTGTCAACAAACTAAGTATGAAACTCAGAAACCTGCTGGTCTTTTACAACCTTTACCACTGCCTCGCGATACTTGGGAGGATCTTTCACTTGATTTTATTACGGGGTTGTCCCCCTCCTTGGGCCACACTGTTATAAATGTGGTTGTGGACCGTTTCTCAAAAGGGGCTCACTTCAGTACACTCCTTGTGCATTTTACAGCCTTCAAAGTTGTGCAACTTTTCATGGACATGATTTGCAAGCATCATGGTATTCCACGCAGCTTGGTTTCCGACAGAGACCCAATATTTATCAGCAAGTTTTGGCGCGAATTGTTTCGATTATGTGGCACAAAGTTGCGTATGAGCACTTCTTACCACCCCGAAACAGACGGACAGACCGAAGTTCTTCACTATATCTTAGAACAATACCTTCATTCCTTCGTTCACTCTCAGCCCTCACAGTGGGGAAAATTTATTTCACTTGCTGAGTGGTCTTGCAGTACTTCGGTTCATTCTACTACTAGAACCACCCTTTTTCAGATTATCTTTGGCAAACCACCTCTATTCCCTTCTATTTGATAGGAACCTCTACTGTAGAGGCGGTGGATTCCCTCCTCACCACTCGCCAAGATTTCCTGACTCAATTGCACAAGAAACTTGAAAAAGCACAATTGGCCATGAAGAATATTGCAGATCGACAGCGTAGGGAGGTCACTTTCCAGGTAGATGATTGAGTTTACGTGCGCTTGAGACCTTACAGACAGCGTTCACTCCATTCTCCTTCTCCGAAATTTGCTAAGCGTTTTTTTTGGTCCCTTCCGCATTTCTGCTCGCATTGGACCAATTGCCTATCAACTTGATTTGCCTCAGGGTTCCAAAATCCATCCTGTCTTTCACTGTTCCTTGCTGAAGTTGCACAAAGGACCACTCCCTTCTTCTCCAGTCGACTTCCCTTTGCTTGCACAAGAAAATATGCCACTAGCTATTTTGGACACGAAAATGGATTCCTCTTCCTCGCCAACTACCAAGCTCGTTTTGGTTCAGTGGACGGGCTTGCCACTTGAGGACACAACATGGGAACTTTGGAGTGATCTTGCCTCCAATTATCACCTTGAGGATAAGGTGTTTTCTGCAACAGTGGGTATTGATAGCAATGGTCCTATAGAGGTAGATGGGGCCCTTAGCACAGTGGAAAAGAGGCCCAAAAGAGGACACAAGCAACCCACTTACCTTTGTGTTTCCGTTAGAGATTCCCTTTTCAGTATGTCATACTTTCTGTTTTTTCACAACTCACGGAAAGCCAATAATTTGATGGCTGAGTATTGTTAAATACAGAAGGAATGAATGAAAAGAAGAAGTATTTTCCTTTTCTCTCTCTATTCTTCTAGGAGGTCCCTTGTTCCTTGAAACCAAGGCAATTCTCTATCCCTAACAAGAATGGTGCAGGTTCTGGTGGATGTTAGTGCCACTAGAAACAATGTCGGCAACTTTAACATGGTTAGCTGAGAAGGAAGTTGATAGGTAGAATGCAAGATGGAGGGACAGACTCATTTAGAAAGAAAGGGGGGGGGGATAAAAGCATGGGCTTTAGGTTAAAAGAGAAACTAGCCCTTTTACCCTTAATGAGAAAGAACCACAAACACCTGAGCAACACCGATTTCGTAGCTGGAATTGAGTCCCTTCGGTTGAAAACCTAAATTGTGTATTAGCGTTTAGTGTTTCAGACTGAAAGAAGGAATACACTCATAACAAAAACAACACAAGACCTTTTTGTTATTGATCAACACATAACAAAAAGATCTGAAATCGAAGGTCTGATGATGATTTGTAGGAGAACTGGAACTTGATTTGAAGTTTGAGGTAAGAATTGCTTATCTCCATCCTAAAAGCTCCCGCAGGAAAAAGGCAATTGTCATTTAGGTAAGGTTTGCTTATTTGATTCTAGCATATTCACAAGCTTTTGGGATGGAAGTGGATCTTCACTATGTGCGTTCTAAGAGACTTCGTAACCATGCTCATTTGCAAGATTTTTGAATGGCCGGGAGAGGAACAATGATGGGCTGTTTGTAAGTCAGAGGGAGATAGAGTGCCGGAAGGTTTACTGATGTTGGAGAGGGTTTCATTGTGGAAGAATGATTGCGTGTTTGAGGTGGTGAAGGGTTGTTGGAGATGACCAACATTGACCGAAGGATTGTTCAAAGGAGAGGGAAAAATGTTTCAAGGAACACATGCACGTAGATAAATCTCAACTCATTAGTTGTGTATGATGACCACCTATTATGGTGGTCCACCTTAGCCTTTGCCTTAAAAGTAAAGTAGAAGCTATTTTATAGTAATTTTAGAGAACCAACTTTTATCGTGAAGTTCCTAACTCAGTTTTTCTTTTTTATTTTTAAAAAAGTATTTTCTTTTATAGGAGTTTAGTTGTATAATATTTTAAGAGCTTTCCAGAAAAATATGTTTTTGGCGTACCTTTTCCTTTTAATGGTAATAGACACCCAAAAATTGTTTGGTTCAAGTACTATTTAGACAGAATATCCTAAATTAAAAAATTATAGTTATGAACTAAAATCCCTAAATAATAAGCAAACCAATCTACATCAGATATTTTAAAAATGGGGCTTTTCCAACATCTAGGGATTACAATTGTGAAAAAAAAGGGACCAAATGAAGATGAATACGTTGCAAAGCATCACATTATTTTGCATTTTCAGCTTCAGCAGCAAATCTGTTAACTATTTCACTTTTACAACCAGGGATGGAGCATTTGATTGCCAGAAATGAAGATGAATACGTTGAATTGGCTCAGAAGTTGGCTTCTGACATTTCCGCACTACATAATTTGAGAATGAGTCTGCGAGATCTCATGTCCAAGTCCCCTCTCTGTGATGGTGCAAAATTTATCTTAGGTTTAGAGTCAACTTACAGAAATATGTGGCACAGGTATTGTAGAGGAGATGTGCCATCTTTGAAACGCATGGAATTGTCAGAAGAAGTTGCTATGGGTGACCGGTCAAGTAAGAATTCTGAACCAACAAGAACTACAAACTCAAGGGAGGGCAGTCCTGGGTATGTCAGGGCCAATGGATTTAACACAATGCCCGTGTCAAAGCTTAACATAAACAATTTCGAAGAAAACGGTGGGTCATCAAATCCTCGTAGTAAACAAGGGAAGCCGAGTTAAAGTTGAGTTTCATCTGAGAATCCTTTGTAGTGATTCGAGGATGGAGAGCTTCATTACAACAGTTGTACCTTTAGATTCATGATGTATAGCTGCTGTTGGAAGAAGCTGAAAGCAATCACTGCATCGCACTGAGTTAACTTGCAAAGGGGTGCGGGAGCTATAAAAATGAAGTTATAAAAGCCCTGTGAATGTGCAAAGGGATGAAGCTACCTTGCAGTCTGTAACATGTTTTTTGGTGGCCATTGCCTGCTTGGGTATTTCCCCCGTAATTTTAATATATTCGTCCTATAGCTTGTGCAATTTGTTCTTACTGCATTTCAACATGGCATTTTTATAATATAAATTGACTACTAATGATATAGAATATTGCAATGCAACTAAACTCGATTACGTCATGTTTCACTATAAAAAAATACTGACACTCTAAACGGAAAAATAACATATTTTAGTAAAATAAAGGATTAAATAGAATTTATCATAAACAATATTTACCCAGTTAGTGCTCATGTTACATTATCATTAGATAACAAAATTTTGTATGTAGTAAATTTATTTATTTTTATAATAGTGAACTATGTTTTCTAATTACATTGAGTATACATTCGAATAAAATTATAATTTAATTTTCTGTAAGTGACAGGAAAAAAGGTGGAGAATTATGTAAAGACGAACAGTTACATTAAAAGATAAAATCGCATGTAGGTATAAAGTGTTTTGTAAAGCGTCTACTTCAATTGTACACAAATACAAATATGCTTGTACTCATATATTCTAGAACCACTTTTTCTACCTTGTGTCCACGAATAAAATTGCACCAGGAGTACGAGTATATAAAATTCAAATTCCAGCAAGTAAATAGCCCCAACCCTACTGGTAAAAAAATAGTCTTGAAAAAAGAAAGGCTTCCGCAAAGAAATACAATTGACAGTTCTGAAGACTCGTTACTAATCCTTGACGGAGGTACGTAGTATCTTCACGTCATGGATGGGCCTGAAGAAACAGGAAATGAAAGTGCATCAATAATTCTCTTTGTAATTTCACAAAGTTCATAGGAAGTCCTCATTTTAGCTTCATCATGTAGATCAAAGCATTGCTTCATAAAAGCCCCATAACCATAATAGATATACTCTACTTATCAAAATACACACTACAGCCTTTTCCTCTTGATTCATAGACCTATTATGCGCTCATTGGCCATTATCTTCCCTGTAATGTAGTATTCTCAGAAATACCTATTAAAGTTGTAAAATGTCATTCTCTAAGACATTCAGCAAAATGCTTAACCCCATATCAGTAGGTTTATGATCCTCCAATGTCCCAGTTTTTTTAGAGATTAGCTGCTAACCTCAGACTGTCATAGTTTGTCTATGGGCAATATTATTGGCTTTATATGCATAGTATATATTTTAAATGGTTATCTTGAAAGATATTTGACATACCTATCGTTGTTGTCTGTTTGGACGCTGCCAAGTCGTTTGATAATTTCCATCCCTCTACTAACTCTTCCGAATATTGTATGTTTTCCTGGTGGGAACAGACACAGTAATTGACTATCAGTAGACATTTCATGTTATGAATTAGAATGATGAATCATAAACTAAACAATATACTTGGAACTAACACTTCACATTCTGATGCTGCCAAGGCTGTGGCTAAATATTTACTCGAGCCAACTCTTGTAATTAGTAAAATTATTAATCAGTAGGACTGTAGGAGTATTTATCTTAAATGCAGAAATTATATTAGAGAATTCAAAAACATCTAAAAAGAAAGAGAGATAGAAAATAAGGGTGCATTTCATCTAGCCTTATCGATTTAGTCAAGGGAACTAACGTAAGATGAAAGAAAAATGCATTTGAATGAAGAAATGAACTAACTATAATGCCTAAAGCTGTGTCTTCTCAAAAAACATAAGAAACAAACAAGGCACTTTCTCGTATTCTTTGCATCAAAGTTCTTGTAACAATCGAGTAACAGAATAGACACAACCAGGGAGAGTAACCCATTGTTATAGTCTATATTCAGAGGGACCATGAGGGTTTTTATATAACTAGGCTATTTGCTAATATCCCATGACTATCAGTATCATCAAATCCTCCAGTGACGTCAGGCTTCATTTATGATGATACAGCAGTCTTTCTGACAGAATATTTACATTATATATGGTTGTGATCATGGGGACTCAGACAAAAGTGAAAACGAAGGGGGCCATGCAATTTAGAATTTCTTTTTCATCTTTCAAGTGAGAAAGATATGATATTTCATCATTATGAGTTTCCAAGGGTGTAACAGTTCATAGACAACATGAATGGAGCTGCATCCACGAGCTATCCTTTAAGAAAGCTACTCATGGCAGTGCATGCTTAATTTTCAATTTACTAGGACTAAAAAAGAACCCTTCGAAGCTGCCAATCCTCCACATGCCAGTGGGTTACACGGCGTAGACCAAAATCTTTCACAACCACGAGTAATTATAAATTTTAATAATGGAGGCTTATTATCTCTAAATTTTAAACGGTAAGAAACAGAGTAATTACCATCGAGAGAGGGGCATGGTGCCAGAGTAATAAAGAACTGACTACCATTGGTATTTGGGCCAGCATTTGCCATGGATAAGATACCAGCTCCAGTGTGTTTCAACTCTCGTTTAATCTCATCTTCAAACTTTGCACTGTTTTAAACATAATACCACGAGAATGAACAAGAGCAAAGCCATAAATAATCAGGACCACTGTCATCATCATTCATTCATTCATCAACAACAACAACAACAAAACAAGAAAGTTAATCTGTTCATTGGTCTCTAAAATTGTCTCCATTATAATTCTAGTTCCTATACATAAAATTTAAGCTTTTGTCACTTGCATCAGCAGTATAAAGCCGCTACAGAAAAATTGTCTAATACAAGGACTAAACGAATAGTTTAACCTAATTATAATCAAAGTTCAAAAGCTTAAGTACCCGTATATGGATTCTCCTCCCCTTCCAGTTCCAGTGGGATCCCCACCTTGTACTATGAAGTCCTACTCAACAAACCACAAAATCTATGTAAGAATATATCACCAAAATAGAGGGTTGGCACCCATATACATGAAATCGAACCACACCACAAACCAATGTAACAATATTTTTATCCAAACAAACCCATAAAGACAAAAAGAATCGAACATAATTACCTTAATGATCCTGTGGAACTTAACGTTGTCGTAGTAACCTCTGCGAGACAGTTCAATGAAGTTCCTACAAGTTCTGGGCGCATGCTTGTAGTACAGCTAAATCCAAAAGTACAATATTAATAAAACTGTTTAATTAAAAAAAGAAAAAGACCCTAAACTAAGAGCGTAGATAGAGGGAGAAAATTGGAAAAGATAATGGAAGTACCTCCACGGTGAAGGATCCCATAGAAGTTTCCAGAGTAACCTCTGGAGCACCACCTTCTGCACTTGCCCACATTTTCCTCACACACTAAACACTCATCTCTCATTCTCTCGTATATGAAAAATGAACGAAATTAAACCCGTTTACATTGGGCCGGGTCGGGCCGGGCCGGGCCGGGTCTTCTAGGTAGAGGACTTGAACACATAAAATAAATAAAAAATCCCCTTGTCCCTCTAATTTGAATTGATGTTAAAACTATGCCGGAGATTTCGGACGGTGTAATTCGGCGAGCCGTTGTGATCGGAAACGGCTTCGCCGGCGCTGAGAATCAGTGCATTGGTTTGGTCCGTGCTCTTGGTTTCTCCAACCGGCATTCCATGTACGTAAGTGTTTTTTTTTTTTTCATTCTTTTTCTGGCTTTGTTTATAATAATATAGGTATTGAATTGAATTGGATTGGATTGGATTTTTGGTTGTAGCGCGTGACTAGGCCTCAAGGAGGAATCAATCGGTGGCTTCAATGGCTTCCTGTTTCGATTCACAAAAAATTAGAGTCCGTTATTAGAATGATCTATGGCAAGTCGCGCTTTCGAACGCCACACACGATCGGTAATTAACGCTGCTTATCTTTCACGTTGTTGAGTACTGTAATTCAATTCAGTGCAGTGATGATAGTTCCGTTTAGGCTTATCCAACGTGTTGGAAGCTGATGCTCACCACATTGCCTCCATGGCTCGCGAAACGTTTCACAAGTGCGTTGTCTTTTGATTGTTCTCGTCTCCTTAAATTGAAGCCTATAAGAAACAATGAATTTAATAAAATGCACAATCAATTTATCTGCAGAGATGGACCCTTGTTGGTGGTTGCCTCTGGACGAGACACCATTTCTGTTGCCAGCTCCATTAAACGGTTAGCTCCAGAAAATGTTTTTCTTGTTCAGGTTAAAATTTTCACTTATTCTTTATTGTCCCTTCACGTATATCTAAGTATAACTTCGTGTGGATGTGATGATTGACTGTTATCGAAGTACCTTTTTGGTGCTTGTATGATATTGAGCGCTTATTAGGTGACTAATGAATTTCGCCAGATTTCATCAAAGTAAAATAATGTTGTGTTAGGGCTGGTTTAAGTTGTGTTATCGAGGAGAATGGGTCGATTTTGTCTAAATTTAAATTTTCGACTGGCAAATCCTAAAAAATAGGAGGATTTTGATGCAAGAAAAGTAAATGTAAAACAGTAATCTTGTAAATGAAATCATTGAATCTAGACTATGAAAGCTATGAAGGAAGATAGTAATCTAAAGCTGCATTGAAAGTCAATGAAAGCTTGTAAAACTATTTTATCGAAAGCTGTAAATAAAATCGAAAGTAAAAAACTGAATTGAATCTACATCTACAAGTTGTAAAGAACCTTAAAGTAAGAACAAAATTAAAATAAGAATTAAATTGTAATCTATTCAAAACAAAAGAAATTCGATAAAAAATTGGGTCGATTTTCCAATCTTAAACTCGATTTTATGATTATCATTGATTTGAATTTGTCAGATTAAAGTGATCACTTGAACTCAAAAGTTGAATTCTGATGTAAAAGTAACATTCAATCAAATAATCTCAATTATATTAATTATAATAGATTATAATCGATTAGAATCATTACAAACAAATTCTAAATCATATAAAACAAGTTTTAATTAGTGAATCAACAACAAAAATGAATTAGAACATGATTGCGAAGTGAAAAAAAATGAAAATAGAGTAAAAGAAATGACACGAAGATAGAAGAAGATGAAACGAAAATGAAAACGGAAAAATAAAGAAAAATGAAACAAATCTAATCAAAAGCAACTTGAATTGATAATCTTTAAAACATTATTCGTATAATAAGTTTTATGAACTAAGCATTGCTAAGAGAGAGAAACTAAAGAAGATTTAGAATCTAAAACTTAAGAATTAAACAATGAAATTGAACTTCTGCTTAACTTGAAACTTCACTTATGTTTTTCGGCCTTCTCAAGCTCATTTATACAACAAAACTGTTAGAAAAGTAGTTTTAAATCAAGAGGGGGGGTGAATTGATTTTTGAAAGTTTTTCGCAATACACAGATTATCTAATTCGAAAATTAAGATTACTTATCAATTCACAAATCACAAAGCAATCAAACGGTTTAAGTGCAGCAGCAGAAATTAAAGAGAGAAAGGTTAGGAAAGATTTCACCGGTAATTTTATACTGGTTCACCCAATACCAGGGCTACGTCCGGACTCCAGCCAAATTCCAGTTGGGTTCCACTAGAATAGATGTTTTACGAGACTCACCCTCTTACACCTATTCTAACTCTCCACCAAGAACCAAATTCCAGCTCTTGGAAACCTCTCGCAACCAAATTCCAGCACGAGAGAAACCGAGTGCCCAAATTCCAGGCACCACACACAAGAACCAAATTCCAGCTCTTGCTTTAACCTTTCCACCAAGAACCAAATTCCAGTTCTTGGCAACTTTCTACAACAATTGCAGAAAACTTGTACCCAAATTCCGGTACAAAACAAGTACAAATGAATGAATAGAAATTTAAAAGAAGAAACAAAGAAAGCTCAAACCGGATTACACCAATCCACGGTCAGTTTCTTCTTCAAAGAAATGCAAAGTGCCTCAAGAAAGATTTCAAAAGAAGTTCACAAAAACAGTTGTGTATCTTTCTTGAAAAATGCTAATAGTTGTTTGTATTGATTGCTTGAATTGTGTAAAAATTGATATGTGATCTATTTCTCAAAGTTTCAAGCAAATCTGTTTATAAAAGAGTATTTTCAAATCTGCTGCATTAATTAATCTGTTGAAAGTTTGTTTTAATCTGTTGAAATAGCCGTTACAATCTGTTAAAAGTCCTTTCAACCCATTAATGCGTTCTTGATCTTTAACGAGAAAATGTTTTAGTTGATACGACCACGTTTTTATCGGTTAAAACGTTTTACAAACATTTTCTAAGTATAAAACAATCGATTGAATCACGTATTAATCGATTGATTTGTTTAAAAACCTCTTTATAAAACTTTCCAAGTTATTTTAGCCGATATAAAGTCGTTTCAATCGATTGAAAATCTGCACATATATTTTCAAGTCATTTTAATCGATTGAAAGTTCGTTTTAATCGATTGAAAAGATTTTCTAAGTTATTTTAATCGATTGAAATACGTTTTAATCGATTGAAATAAGTCTGATCGGTCATAAATCAATTCTGATCGATCATAACCAACTCGATCGGTCATAATTTCATTCTGATCGATCATACCGACATCCAAAGTGATTTTAATCGATTGAAACGTGTTTTAATCGATTAAAATAATTCTAATCGCTCATATTTAAGATCTGATCGATTATAATGCATTCTGACCTATTATATTCGAATTCTAATCGGTCATAAAGAGTTTTAATCGATTAAAAGAAGTTTGTATCGATTAAAATACTCGTGAAAACACTTCTATAAACATTCTAAGTGTTTTAAACGTTTCTTTAAAAAACTATATCAGCTTAAAACCATTTTTAAGAAGGTTCTTTGACAAAATGCTTTTGTTTGATTTGTTTAAAACTATTTTTGAGGCATTTTGCAAATTGAGTGAAGAAGCTTTATGCAGTGGAAAAGGTAAAGTGGTTTTACCTAAGCTTTCTGTTTAGACACACTAAGTCTTCAGCTTCCATTCTTCGAGTGACTTGTTTGATCATTGCAGAGTTGACCTTTGACTTTATCTTTGACTTCATCAAATCAATGAGATCTTTGCTAGGATCACTTTCAGTCTCCCCTATTTGATGAAGACAAACACCATTTTGAAAAAACAATCTCTCGCAAAATAAGTCACTTGATAATGCAGTTAGGTGAGAAATACAAGAATGTAATAAAGTTTTGTTTCTCCCCTAAAACTTATTTCTCCCCCTAAAATGTTGCACTTAAATTTATCTTAAAGTGATGCAACTATTTCTCCCCTTTTGACTTCATCAAAAATAGGGAATAGAAGAGAAAAGAATAAAATGTAAGGTTTCGAAAAATATGCTCAAATTTTTGAAAATACAAAGTGAATCAATATTTCACTCATGAAAAGAATCAATTAAAGTTGATTCAAACTTATCTCCATTAACACGTTTGTAATGAATACAATTAACACGTGTAAAGATAAGGGAATCACGCTTTAGTAGCATGTTACAGAACGACCATTAACTAAAGCCTTTAATCTTTCTTCCCGAATAAAAATCGATTAAAAACGAGCATAATCGGTTAAAATGTTCTTGGTAAATGATTTTAATCGATTGAAAGAAAGGTTTAATCGATTAAAACATTTAAGATTTTGAAAACATGAAACTTTAGTAAAAATAATCGATTATTTCGATTTTCAATCGATTAAAACATGTTGTATAAGTTCATTTAATCGATTAACAAGATGTTGTATTGATTAAAACAATCAGCTTTGAAAATGAAGTAATGTTTAATGCATATTTTGTAAAACTGATCATTTAGAAGGATGTTTTAACAATACTAACAGACTATCTTAGCTAATAGATCTATCGGAATAAAGTCTTATTTAGCTAAAGCTCTCGGGGATCTATTTAAATTCTATTTACGCCGATCTGATCTAGATTAGATCCTAAACCATATTTAACCAAAGGTTAAGGCAAATGTTCCTGGTATAACACCAGTTAATATCACGATCCATGCAAACAATATAAAGATAGAAATAAGCGAGAAGATAAAGATGATGAGGGGAACTAGTCATCCCAATTTCCCTGATTGAACTGCTTATCCACCAGCTTGGTGATCATTCATTTGATCCCCACCAATATCAAAAGATAATAGGCTTTCCTTTTTGCTGGAACTAATTTTGCTCTATCAACTATTTGAGTCAACAACTGCTTGTCACTCTCAGTATCAGCAACGTAAACTTTTCCCGAAAAGAAATCTTTTAGCAGTTCTTGTTATTATTGACTGCATTACGATCCATGGTTGACACCACACTTGGAATTTCTACTACACATCGAGGCATAATCATGTACTGACCAAATCCCACACAGAATGCATGATACCATAAATTGCATGAATCACAGGTTAATGATGTACTCGAGATAGGAATTTTCTTTCATAATAGCCAACCCATTTTGAACCCCTGCAGTTGTCATTATCCAAGCAAATAACTGCATTCTTATTAATGTAGTATGATGGGTGTTATTCTCACTTATAGTGAACCAGTCATCATTATCTTTTGAAGAATGAGTCATTTTTAACTTTGTTGTTTTCCAGTGGTATCATATGCACAAGTGATTAAAAAAACTTATTCTGGTAGAGTGGGCAATGATTAGTAATGAGGACAGGTGATGACAATCAATCCAGAATTCTAAAACAATATAAAATTTATCCCTGTATCGACCATAAAACATACATTCCCTGTACCACGTTATTCAATTTTTGAATTGTTGTTCCAGATTGGTTCCCTTATAGTGTCACCTCGTGACATTGATGATTAAAGCAAATATTCAAAGTTGCACAGTTCCAATGAATTTCACCAAGAGTTTTGAACCAATGCATGCTCAAGATTATTTCGAAATATTGCTAGGTAATATCAAGAAATCTAATGTAAACATTTGTTCATTGAACTTCCTAGTAATCAACAATTTATTACCGGAATCAACTATCACTCGAAAAAATCTATGATAAACTATGTTTTCAGTCCTAACAGTTTGACCTGTTTGTAACTAGTGTCTATAAGAAAAGTTATAGTCCATTCTTTGATAATTTCTTTGATTTTCAGTGTATTACCATGCATCATTCCATGTAAAGTATTAAGAGAAATGTAAACATCTACAGTGAATTAATCAATTGTTTTATGAAAGAATCGATTTGTATGGTACAGAATGTAATAAAAAAATATCACCAGTATTTAAATCGATTAAAACGTAAATGAATCGATTAATTTTGATACCTAAGTGTTTTTAGTTGATATACAGATATTACAATCGATTAAAACAATTAAACCAAAATCCTCGAGATCAGTTCAATCGATTATTTCGATATTTCAATCGATTAAAATGGTACTGACAGATATCAGTAAGTTATTTTAATCGATTAATATTGATTTATATCAATTAAAACAATTAATTTAAATACACGAACCTGGTTTCGCAGCTCTGATCTTCAAGGGATTCCCAGACTTGTTCCTGCAAAACAATTAAGTATTTTTCTCGGTACCCTTTATAATTATTGGGTCCTGATCATGTTATTTGAAAAGAATTAATCTTTGGAACCCATTTCATTCTCCCTTTAGGTACGGCATATTTCTTAATTCTGCAATATTTAACAGAGTGCCCTTTTTTCATACAAGTAAAAGCATTTGATAAACGGAGATGAAACAGTTTTACTATATGCAAAATAATTTTTGAAAGCTCTGGTTTTCTTTCCAATGGCTCGGTGTATAACCTATACCACCACGTTCAATAACTAATTTTTGGGAATTAAGTATCTTATCAAGATTATTTTTTCCTTGTGCCAATTTAGATGAGGTTTTTACTAGATATGATACTTGTTTCGTAACTCAGGACAGTTTTTGCAATCTTCAATATTACACATGCAATCAGTATCATTCTCTAATTCTAACTTTTCATCCTTAGTTTCTTCATCAGTTATTTTCTTTTCAAGAAGAATGATCTTGTTTTCTAAAAGCCTATTCATGCTTTTCAATTTTCTATTTTCAGTTTCTAATTTCTTTGCTACTGCATGTATTTCAAGGAAAGCATCTTGTAATGAGCTATAGTTCATAGATTCGAACTTACACTCGGTATTTGGTGATTCCGAGTTGACCATCAAGCATATTTCTGGTGCTTCTTCATAGGTCTTTTCAAGAATCTTCCACATTTGTGCAGTTGTTTGGCAATGTGCAATCTCGAAAAGATCATTTTTGTTAAGGGCGAGATAAGATGATATTCTTGGCAATACAATCATCTTGGATTCCGTTAGCAATATCAATTTCCTGTTCAATAACATTCCAAGCATTTATACTAACAGATTCAATGAAGATTTTCATCCTTAGTTTCCAGAATAGATAATCTGTTCCACACAACAGTGGAGGTCTATCAATGTACGCTCCCTCGGAAAATGCCATGGATCGAAGTAACTTGAGTAACTTTCAAGCACCTCGCTCCGATACCAATTGTTAGAAAAGTAGTTTTAAATCAAGAGGGGGGTGAATTGATTTTTGAAAGTTTTTCGCAATACACAGATTATCTAATTCGAAAATTAAGATTACTTATCAATTCACAAATCACAAAGCAATCAAACAGCTTTAAGTGCAGCAGCAGAAATTAAAGAGAGAAAGGTTAGGAAAGATTTCACCGGTAATTTTATACTGGTTCACCCAATACCAGGGCTACGTCCGGACTCTAGCCAAATTCTAGTTGGGTTCCACTAGAATAGATGTTTTACAGTACTCACCCTCTTACACCTATTCTAACTCTCCACCAAGAACCAAATTCCAGCTCTTGGAAACCTCTGCAACCAAATTCCAGCTACAGAGAAACCAAGTGCCCAAATTCCAGGCACCACACACAAGAACCAAATTCCAGCTCTTGCTTTAACCTTTCCACCAAGAACCAAATTCCAGTTCTTGGCAACTTTCTACAACAATTGCAGAAAACTTGTACCCAAATTCCAGGTACAAAACAAGTACAAATGAATGAATAGAAATTTAAAAGAAGAAACAAAGAAAGCTCAAACCGGATTACACCAATCCACGATCAGTTTCTTCTTCAAAGAAATGCAAAGTGCCTCAAGAAAGATTTCAAAAGAAGTTCACAAAAACGAGTTGTGTATCTTTCTTGAAAAATGCTAATAGTTGTTTGTATTGATTGCTTGAATTGTGTAAAAATTGATATGTGATCTATTTCTCAAAGTTTCAAGCAAATCTGTTTATAAAAGAGTATTTTCAAATCTGCTGCATTAATTAATCTGTTGAAAGTTTGTTTTAATCTGTTGAAATAGCCGTTACAATCTGTTAAAAGTCCTTTCAACCCATTAATGCGTTCTTGATCTTTAACAGAAAATGTTTTAGTTGATACTGACCACGTTTTTATCGGTTAAAACGTTTTACAAACATTTTCTAAGTATAAAACAATCGATTGAATCACGTATTAATCGATTGATTTGTTTAAAAACCTCTTTATAAAACTTTCCAAGTTATTTTAGTCGATATAAAGTCGTTTCAATCGATTGAAAATCTGCACATATATTTTCAAGTCATTTTAATCGATTGAAAGTTCGTTTTAATCGATTGAAAAGATTTTCTAAGTTATTTTAATCGATTGAAATACGTTTTAATCGATTGAAATAAGTCTGATCGGTCATAAATCAATTCTGATCGATCATAACCAACTCTGATCGGTCATAATTTCATTCTGATCGATCATACTGACATCCAAAGTGATTTTAATCGATTGAAACGTGTTTTAATCGATTAAAATAATTCTAATCGCTCATATTTAAGATCTGATCGATTATAATGCATTCTGACCTATTATATTCGAATTCTAATCGGTCATAAAGAGTTTTAATCGATTAAAAGAAGTTTGTATCGATTAAAATACTGTGAAAACACTTCTATAAACATTCTAAGTGTTTTAAACGTTTCTTTAAAAAACTATATCAGTTAAAACCATTTTTAAGAAGGTTCTTTGACAAAATGCTTTTGTTTGATTTGTTTAAAACTATTTTTGAGGCATTTTGCAAATTGAGTGAAGAAGCTTTATGCAGTGGAAAAGGTAAAGTGGTTTTACCTAAGCTTTCTGTTTAGACACACTAAGTCTTCAGCTCCATTCTTCTGAGTGACTTGTTTGACTGTTGCAGAGTTGACCTTTGACTTTATCTTTGACTTCATCAAATCAATGAGATCTTTGCTAGGATCACTTTCAAAAACTAGTGTACGGAATGATAAGGCCCATAACATAATTAATCAATTACATAACATGGAACTTGAATCACGTTACCACATAGTTGAGGTTTTGTGACAAATTCGCTCTATCGATTTCTTATGTGCTGAGTGGAATTATTGTTAAATTAGTTATATAAGAATCAATCGCTTGATTGTGCGCTCAATTAGTGGATAGCTTCAATTAGATTTAGAGATATTTATTTTCTTTTACAAAAATTATATTAAATATTAATAATTAATTAAAAAATATACTAAAAATATATAAAACACTTTAATAAAATTATTGATAAAATGTGTTATCAATGATATAACCAATTTCTGTGTGGGTTTGGTTTTTAACCAAGTCAATGATATTGAGTGATCTTATGTATAGACTTGCCTGTTAGCTGTAGCTTATTTTACTTCTTTTGAGGTTTAACCAAATTGCCTTGTAGGCTACTTCTCAGTATTGCGTGTTGTAGTGATGTGCTTTCTATTGCTCATATGCATGGATTATTTAAATATGTAATAGATGAAGGCATATATGTATGTATGTTGCTGTCTAACTCTTAGATGTTTTCCAACTCAGATACAACATCCAAGATTTCACCTTAATAGGTTTGATCTTGTGATCACTCCACGCCATGATTATTACCCGCTGACTCCTCATGCCCAACGGCAAATACCTTGGTTTCTTCGAAGGTGGGTGACTCCATGGGAACCTCCTGGCCGCATTGTGGTAGGTACAGTAGTTGTGGGTGGCTATTGATGTCTCTGTCTAAAGAAACATTTTAAGCTGTTATGTATAAGTTGAAATACTATATTTTTCGTTCTTTCTTGAGGGCGACATTTTTACATAATTACAGGTCCTCACTGTGGGAGCACTTCATCCAGCTGATTCTGTTGCTCTTAGGGTTGCTGCTTCTGCCTGGCGTAACGAGTTAGCAAATCTGCCAAAGCCCTTGCTTGTGGTTAACGTTGGGGGACCTACTGGTATTTTATTTTGCAATAAGTAACGTATTAGTTATAATGCTTGTACTGTTTTCTTGTTTAAATTTTTTTTGTATTAATTAAGATTGCTGCTATTATTGAAACTCCTTTCTTCCATCTGATTCATAATCATTGCAAATCAAAGACCCTTTCAATGACTCTAACTTAATATTTAATGGCAGGAAATAAACTGCATGTCCTACATACAATGTTGGCTTGTTTAGAACTTTCAAATGTTTGTATTGTACAGGCTTAGTTAAAAAATTAATGAAATAGATCGATTTTGAATTTTGAGTGGAAAATTAAAACCTTAGAATGTTTGTATGCTTTACGCCTGATATTTTCTTCTTTCATCATTTTATTCCACATATTATATGCAAAGATTATTTTTTCAAGTCTTTTGTCACACTGCACTATGCCTGCTTCATCTTAAGTCTTTCTTTTTCGGGGTGGGGGTGACAGGCAATTGTCCCTATGGTGAAGATCTTGTAATGAAGTTAGTGGTTATGCTTCAGAATGTTCTATGGAGCTGTGGGAGTATCAGGATATCTTTCTCCAGGAGAACCCCGGACAAGGTACAGATGACTATGCAATTAGTAAGAATCTTTTTGCCTATTCCTCAAGTTGTGTGTAGTTATAAGTCAGTTTTAGCTTAACCATGAGCACGCTCCTGGTTGTTCATTTGTCTGATGTAGTGTTGGCAATAGCAAGTATAAATGGTGTTACCGGGGGGGTACAGTTCAATAATACCAGGTCCTATCAGTATCCTTAATAACTTGCTGCGTTTTATTGAATCATAATATCCTTTTTTTATTGTAGATCACCAAAATTTTGGTCAAAGAATTTTCCACAAATCCCAAGGTCCAAATATGGGACGGTGAAGGTACTTATTTTCAATGTTCTTAAGAGAAGAAATTTATACTTATCAGTCCTGGAGCTGGAGATTACTTGATGTAATTTTTTTTTTAATGTTTAGGTCCAAATCCACATATGGGACATCTGGCCTTGGCTGATGCCTTTGTTATTACAGCTGATTCAGTTAGTATGTTGAGTGAGGCCTGCAGTACTGGGTATGTATGATCAATAATCAATGATGACGAGCGTCCCTCTCACAATAAAAAATGTCAAATAAAATAATTATCATTTAATCATTCCTTAAAATTGAAATCCATAATTTCATGATCCTCTATACAACAGGAAACCTGTGTATGTAGTTGGAGCAGAGCTATGTACTTGGAAGTTTGCTGACTTCCAAAATTCTTTGCAAAAACATGGGGTCGCTCGACCATTCACTGGGAAGGAGAATGTGAGTTGCCAGTTATGCTGTAATGTTTTGTGTTGGGTCCTTTTGAGTGTGTCTATCTAAATTGGTTTCTTATTCAATGATACAATTCCAGAAATATAGCATAGTAAACGTGAAAAGAACTTAACTATTACAGATCCTATATTGATTAGTGATTTGACTGAAATAGTATATATTAGTGTGACAATTCTCATTTTGTGTTAGTTTTTGTGATGAAATCAGGTGCAAATCTTTATTTAATATAGTATACAGTCAAAATGGTAATATAAGTAGGAATAATCTGTGATAGGGATACAAAATACCTTGAATTTGAGAATAAGTAAAACCTCCAAAAGAAGAAAGATAAATGTGTCTGAAATTCTTCCTCTCATTTAGTCGCGGGTTCTGCAGTACTCGACATCTGTAACAGAAAAATAGCATACAGGTGTGAGTAATATTTTAAAAAACAACTCATGATAACAAACAGGGCATAAAAGTAAAATATATAGCAATTCAATAAATGAATAAACCCCTGAAGCATAATGGTTTGTTGCATTTCTCTTTGGCCTGCTTGTTTCAATTGGGACTGGTTTAGATGCTGAAAGAGGCTCATCAACAACTTCCTTATCATAATTCTCACCTTTTAAGTTAACTTTTGCAATTGAATTAATCCAAACCCATGTTCTAAAACTTTTGTAATTGTTGCAGATAGATGTTTTGTTGAAGTTTTTTTGCTTATTTTTGTTTCGAAAAATACAGATAGCCGAAAGATGGAGTTATTCTCCACTGAATGACACTACAGAAGCTTCAAGCCAAGTAATTGCAGCTCTTGCTCAGCGAGGATGGACCATTCATGCATAACGAATTTTCCTCCCAATATTCCTTGGGAACCCTTGGTATTCATAAATGATACATGATTGACGAGGAAATATTATGGTTTGTGCTTAGTTTTCGGAGTTCTTGCTAACTATTGTTGTTTGCTTTTGTTGGGAAAATTACTTGTAATAGTTCTAATGAGGTTGTTCGTATAGATGGTGTGAACAATGGTGGTTTCACCAATTTTTGCTTGTAAGGGAAGTTGTTGTTCAGCTTCCCAACAATTTTCGGAAATCTCCTTTTCCAACTAACTGTTGTTGAAAGCTTTAGAATAATGTAAGCTGCTTAGAGCACTTAGGCATGTTACACATCTCAAATCTTTTTGTTTTGCGGCCGAGGATCTGTATCATAATGAAAAATGAATTATATAAAATAAGATATTTTTGCTCCACTTTTTGTTATTTATTTCTAATTCGAGTCTCTCCTTTTTATTTTTTTAAGGTGAGTCTCTCTTCCATAACTAGATGTTCTTTGCTTATTCTTGTGCAGTATGTGTGTGTTAATATATGGTGTGGTAGGGCAATCTATCTGTTTGTGTTGTGTAACAAATGTAAGTATAACTTATATAACCGACTTTTGGTACTACCAGAAGCAAATAGAGTAATTATCTTATCATAGCATACATACAATTGCCAATTAGATCCAAAAATGATTTAAAAAAAAAAAAAAACAAAATATGCTTCAAAGAAAAAAAGGAAAGCAGGTGAAATAATGTCCACAAATACAAAACTTCATTTAAAAAATTCTACTTAAATACTATCTTCTTGTAACATTAGGCAGGTTTCCCTATGATTTCATCTCAAATCATTTCTATGTATAGTATGTTATTCTAATATAAATTGTTTATATTCTATTGATGGATGAAATGATTTTAAAATAAATATATATAGGAACTCTTTTATTATATTTATAATGATTCTATTTTGATCAACATCATGAGCTAATATACAATTATTAAATCACTCAACATAACATTCTATATAACATTATTTATAGGGTAATTATTATTGAAATTTATAATGTTATAATTTTATCTCTTCTTATAATTTAATCAGAATAATCATCCAAGGATTGTCATCAAATTATTATTTTTTATAGTAGTTACACTAAAAATTATTTATAGATTGTTGCTAATTGATTCATAGTGAAAAAGTCTTCATCACTAAAGTATATATTAAACTATTTATTTAATATAATATATTATTTACCTCATTGAAAAATAAATCACCCCATCTTTGCAAATGCACAATGAATTGTTATTGTTTTAATATATTTTCAGATTTTTTTTTATTGATTGACTCATGACTAACTTCAACCAAACCAAATGTGATTTAGTTGGTACTTGATGGGATTGTCAATTTTTCTTTGGAAGAACTCGGTTTTATCCCAAACTAATTAACATTAGTGAATTTAGATTTAAATATCTCTCCAATTCAAATAAACTAAACTCGTCCTTATTCGCAATAGCAATTCACTTATATAAGTAGACAATAGAAATGTTATTCAATATTTAAGGATACCAACTAATAATTAATTTTTTTTTTGGTTTCAAAATACAAACAAATACACTCTTATAAATATTTAATACGTTTTTATATGACTATTTTTAATTGTCAAATTTTAAAATAATATTTTTTATTTACTTATTATTTTCAAATTACAATAAAAGATTAATTAATTTTTAATTATATTTTTATTTTACACTTAAATTTAAAATTAATTTAAACATATATTTATTGTGAAATATAAATGAAAAAAGATAAAAATAGACCTTCCTAATTTTTTATTATAAATAAAAAGACGGATTAAAAAAATAATTTACTTTACCAAAATAATTTTAATTATATCCATAGATCACTTGTACTGTGTTCTCTTAGAGTGGTTGTGCATAATTTATTTGTTTATGAGGTAGGATTAAAATAAAGCAAGCAACAACATTTATACTATATTTTGATTTGGGTGGAAGTAGATGCAGCTCCGAACATTGTTCTTTGCTTGGAGTGAGTGCGAGTCAATTCTTCGTTTCTTCTCTCTGTCTTCGGAACCAACAAAGAAACCAGTCAAGATAAGATCGCTAGTTGGAGGGTTTGAGCGAAACTGAAATGTCTCAGACGAAGAAATTGACGCCGAATCTGGATCAGCAGACCACGAAGGTGCTGAATCTCACGGTGCTCCAACGAATCGATCCATTCATTGACGAGATTCTCTTCACCGCCGCCCATGTCTCCTTCTACGACTTCAACATCGAAAGCAACCAGTGGGTTCGTTCTTTTCCCCTCTTCTCACTTCTTCGCACTTTCTTCTCTCATCTCTTTCACTCACTCATTGTAGAGTCGCAAGGATGTCGAAGGATCTCTCTTCGTTGTCAAGAGGTCAGTTCATCAACAACACTGTCTCTTCTCTTTCTATTCTTTGCATGCATTCATATGCACCTAGATCGTTCTTCATTTCCTTGTTTTGATTCAGGAATTCACAACCACGGTTTCAGTTTATCGTAATGAATCGACGAAATACAGGTTCAGATTTGAATTAAAACTGTATTATTATTGTTATTACTACTATTATTATTTGGAAAATTGGTGTTTGACTAGAAGGTCCAAAGAAAGGTTTAGGGGCTAGATTCTCGTAAGCTAATTATCGTTGTAGGTAAAAAATGCTTTTTTCGGTAATGCTAAATTTGCTATTGCCACATTTCTGAATCTTTGGTATCTATTCTCCTACTCAACAACTTTTTCTCTGTATTTTGTCCTGATTCCTGACAGATAACCTAGTGGAGAATCTATTGGATTTTGAGTATGAACTTAAAAACCCGTACCTATTATATCGGAATGCGGCTCAAGAAGTTAATGGTATATGGTTTTACAATTCAGAGGAATGTGAGGAAGTTGCAAATCTTTTTAACAGGTATGATTATTTTCTATGTTTCTCCGTTCAGGTTATTTTGGTGTTGTTTTTTATTTATAGTTACAACTTACAGCATGCTAATTTCAACCAATCTAATCTAAACTTTGATGCCCTTTGGTGTGTGTGTGTGTGTGTTTCTAGTTAGTGATATGCCCCATGAAATTGAGTGCAGGATAATCGTACTTATTTTCTAAATTCAATTTACAGGATACTTAATTTGTACCCAAAGGCATCTCCAACTACAGGAACACCAACTAACAGAAGGTAAGGATTTTTGTAAATTTTATAAAATCTGAAGTTGTTCAATTCCATAGTTATCAACCACGATGCTATAACTATTGAGTGACACAGCCTCTGGCAACTACAATTTCAGATTTTGGACCACTTTTACATTTGCAGAAGCCTAGTGTCCCCCCAAAAATGTATTTATATGTAACATAGATTATTTAACACGATTGTCATCCAACTATCTTGATTTTGGGGTTGAATGCTCTGCACCACTATGTTGTGCTGCTTATATGTTTGTAATTCCAAACAACATTGACTTTAACATTTTCATTTGTCAAGAAAATTTTTTATTTCAAAATGCGAAATAACTTTAATAAAGTACCTTTGCTTGGTTTTTCTTGTCCGACGAATGTGCTTGCTCAAAATTCAAACTGCATGTCTGGTGGCTGATGATTTTATGTATTACAGTGGGTTTGAGGACCATCAGCCAGTGTCAATTATACCAGAAAACCCTGTAGAATCATCTTTAGCTACTGCTTCTGCAACTGATGCTGTTGAAGATCCTGTATTTACAAACTTTTTCAGTGTATGTAATGTTGTTGCGTATCTATTTTCTCTGCTTTTTGTTGAATACTTCTGCAATTTTTATGTTTACTTTCCTTTTTATTATGTGATGATGTCTGTGGCTTAAGAATTTTTTTTTTTAATTCAATTGTTGCAGACATTGAAGGCTACTGGAAATTATGCTTCCACTGTAGAAAATGTTAGACAACCTTCTACGACTGTCACTCCTATTGCTCCTAGTGGTTTATTTTCTCCTGCATCTACTGTGCAAATACCCGTCTCTCATTCAACTTCATCTATATCAGGCTTCCATATTGATTCTCTTGAAACAGTCAAAAGTGGCAGTCAAGTCATTAATCTTGTTAAGCCTTCTACTTTTTTCGCATCAACTTCTTCGTCTTCACTGTTAGCTCCACCTATTTCTTCACCTGTGCTGCCTAGTGCAGTTGTTAATCATTCCTTGAATCTGCCACGACCATATGGCACTCCGGTACTTCAACCCTTCCCACCCCCTAATCCTCCTCTCTCTCTTACCCCTGTTTCAAGCTCTAGTCCAAATAGACCTGTAATAGGCAGGGACAGCGTTCGCCATGCACTTTTATCATTGGTTCAGGTACTATATAATTTTTCCATCTTTGTTTGGTTCCCTTGTGTTTCTTGACCATGATTAATTCAATTGTATCTTTAAGTTGTCATTCAATTATTTCACAATTATTTTATTAAAATAAGGGGGAAATAAAGGATGACTAGTGTCCAATTCTCATTAGGGTAACACATAGGATTATACGAGTCTTCCCCACTACAGAAAGTCCAGTTTGAGCCATTATTCACTGCTAAGGGGTTGCTAGTTGCTCCAGGAGAGATGTCTGAGTTATTTTATATATAATTTAGTCTAGGCACTACTTAAAATTCAGTTATAAAAGCAGTCCGAAACAGGTCTTAAACCTTAGTATGGGGGAAATATTATAGTTAAGTTAGCGACTATTTAGCTTACTAACACTTTGGAAGTGTACTTATCTTATCCTAATTAATAATATTGAGATTTGTTTCATATAACAAATTTCAAGAGATGCAATTTTGAAAAAGATTGGGAATAATTGAAAAAAAGGGCGAAACTAAAAATAAGGTTTTAATAAACCTGACCTAGGAACGCTCCTCTATATAGTTACTACTTACTAGTATAAACTTACAATTTTTAATATGCAACCTTGGATTATTCATGTTTTTATTGCTTTTTTTGTGTTTATGATTTCAACATAAATTGAATCTCTAGTCGACAAAATAATTGAATTAACAAAATTGCTTTATCTTTTTCTGTGTAATGCTTACATTTTGACGCCTCTTCCTTGTTAACCTTTTTTGTTTCTCTACTAATAGAATTTTCCTTTGCTAGGATGATCAATTCATTGATATGATGTTCCAGGCATTACTGAAGGTGAGTCATTCATGAGTAATCAAACTCTTGAAGGTTGGATGGAAAGTGCATATAAATTTAGTTCTGTATATAGTAGTTACACACCGGCACGTCTAACAGGAGGTGTAACTTAGCATATAGAGACATCCGTCCATCTTTAGCTTTAGCCACAACTTTGCATGATACATCGGTAATGGTCTATTCCACAATATACTAACAAATATGGTGCATTAATACACTATATCATCTTCACCACTGAGTTTATGTGTGTATGCGTGGACAAGTTGTTAGAGAAAATGATGGTTCAAATGTAGCATGATTTTAATTGCTATGTTGATATAAGGTTTGTTCTACGTTACACAAGATAAACTAATGGTGAAAACACTGTGTATTCTTGCACTGTCACTCTGTAGTGTATTGTAGAAATAGCCGTATGTTTCTGCACAATGATAAGTGTTTCGATGTCAGTGTCGCCTTATTACCCTTTGTTGTATGTTCTTTGTGTTTTAAAATACAATCATGGTTCTGTCGGTGTCTGTGCATCAAGTCGGACAAGTCCTCTCTATGGACAAATGAAGATATGTATGTACAATCCCATGTTTAACATGCTGTTAGATATAAATAAATAAAAATTTATGTCAATTTAATCCTTAAATTTGCCAATGTGAAATTTTGAAGTGCAAGATAGTCTAATTCTCTGGAAGTGCCCGTCGCAGACCCATTGTTTTAATCTCCATTCGTTATAAACTCGAGCAGAAACTGATGCTTCGTATTTGTGAGAAAGACAATTAGGCATAGGATTCATGAATATTATGTTCATTACATCCAAATCCTCTACTCTACCATTAAAAGTAGATCAGGCTGTAATTGTTACATAGATTTGAAATCAATACCACGCAGTTTTCTGGATAATTGAACTTCTAAAGGCTTGAACACTGGTTCCCTTCCATACATGAGAGTTTCAAATGTTCGCAAATACACTTTGCGATTTACTGTTTTGTCTGCATATATAAATATAGTTTGTATAAATAGTTTTTATTAAAACATGAAAATCAAATGAATAGAAAACGAATTATTACAGTGTTATAATTTCATTATTATTTTACTTTTCGATGAACGTAAAATGCAATACCACAAATGCGAAGTAACTTACAATTTGTTTGTTTACAATTTTTATAAATATTTTTTAAATTTCTAGTTTTTCAAACTATTTCTTTATAAATTAAAACTGATAAAAGATATTCTGTTTTTACTTTTTTACTTTTTATTCATGTTTTCATTAATAATTTCATTATATTCTCTATTTTTTTATTATTATAAAATCCTTTAAATCATTTTTGTATGGTTTTTCATCGCTGATATTATGTTTTTTGTCTAAATAATTGACTACTTTTAAAAATTAAAAAGTAAAATTTACTAAACACAGTATCACTATTGAGTAATCTAATAAATACTCAAATGCAAAATTGCAAATACAAAGCAACTTATTTAGAACAACGCACGATATCACTGTTGAGTAACTGAATAAACACCCTAAAAATCAATATTGGAAATATAAAGTAACTTAATTAAAGCAGCTCTTCCATCAATATATATTTCATACAATACAAGGTAGAACATTTTATTCTTTAAAAAACAAGATTTCTTTCTGGGAAAAAAATAATATTTTCATTCAAAGACCAATTTAAATTTTAACAAAATATTTTGTCAAACATATATAGTTTGAAATAACTTATATAATTTATTTGACCTTATAAAATAAAAGAAATTTATAATGTTTCATAGCCTCATTTTCATTGAACTTCTTTAAAAAATTATATTTATAAAATGGTCCCTATATATAATAATTTTTATAAGAGAAATACCTAATTCAATTATTCATCCAAACACTTCAATTGAATCATTAGATTTATTTTATTTTTATTTGTTGTTATCATATGTAATTTCTTGCCATTCTTGTGAGGAAATTCCATGAATTATTTGAATTTGAGCCTTTCATATAGTAGTGTAATTTTTTTTTTCAAATAGCTATTTTATTGGTGTGAAATTTTCACCCAACTAATCGAGTCTCTGCTCTCAGTTATGTTTTCTTTTAGACAATAAACCTCATTTAGGAGGACCAATTTATGTAGTAATCTCCTTTGGTTTGAGCAATTATCTTGAAGGTTACATGTTCCTATGCAACCCGGCTGGCACCTTCAATGGCATATGAAAAGAAAAAGGATAATTGTCCCCACTCTCTTCACACAAAACATCATGACCCAATTCAAGGACTTCTTTTTATATCTGATTTCTGATTAACTAATCCTTCAAACTCATATCCTTCTTTTTCCATCTTCTAACCTATATCTTCTTTCATCATCTTCTCTCTCTTTCTCTCTTGTATAACTAAGACTTTCTTATTTCATCAATTTTATGAGTGCTGAGCCTTTGCGACACTTCGTGTTTGTGGAATATTGGGCCTGTATCTTTTAGACGACCCATTCATTGACGCTGTTTCTTCCTCCTCTTCTATAGTTTCTCATAATTAAAATCACACATGTTTACATTTTCAAACTCATTGACTGTTTCGGAAATTTTGGAATATATTTTTATATTTGTTAATCTAAAAATATATTTTTAGAACAGTTAATCTATAAATATATTTCGAATTAACTTTTTTAGAATATATTTTTGGATTCACTATTTCAAAAATACATTTTGAATGGAGTGTTTCAGAATATATTTTAAAACAATCAATCCAAAAATATATTTCAGAACATTTAATTTAAAAATACATTTTAGATTGAGTGTTTCAGAATTTCCTTTCAAGTTTGAAAATGTTTTTTAGATTGATCAATTTGTATCCATATATTCACTTTCAATCAAGTTTTCACTTAATAGGTACAAAAATTTATCAATTTTTTATCTTATAGGCTAACAACAATCTTTAATGGGATGAAATCACAACAAAACGAAATTGCAAGAACTAAGGAGGTGCAGGAAGAAACAGCGTTCATTGATTATGTTATGGGCTGTGGGTATGAAGACCAACCCAAATACCCAGTTCTGCATGCCCCTCCTCCTATATTGGGCCTGGCCTGTTGCAGCCTAAGCCCACGATTGGGTTGATAGCCCGTTTACTCTGCGAATATGCCGGGGTAGCACAAACTCGTCATTTCCTTTGTTCTCTGTCTCCAACACTCGAAATGAATTCCATGGCGGCCGTGAGAAAAATAATCGAGGCCAATAAAAATAAAACCTTGTTGCCATCTCTTCTCGCTTTTCGCCGAGGAATTGCTTACAAGCTTTTCGTTGGAGGTATGCACTCTCCTTTTCTTTTCCGCTGAAGAAACCGCTGCATATTTTGTTCCTCGTCAAAACAAATTTAAGGAAATTAATTTCTTCATCATTTTATTAATTACTTTTGTTCAATGCTCTTTGTTCCTGATGATGAAATCATATTACCTTTTTTTTGCTTCTTGATAAATGCTTGTTTACACTCTGAGCCATAGCAATTAGTTAGACTGTGTCTGTATACACTTCTTGATAAACACATAATCAGAAAATAAATTTAAACTTTTTCAAATTTGAAATTAATTTATGTATATATTAATTTACACAGGCTGTATAACCTAGTTTAGTTTATTCTAAAATTAATATAGCGTTATGCATAACTTAATTTTAAGTCGGAGAAACTTTATTTTAAGTATTTGATTTCTCTTATAAATGCTTTATTGTGAAGTTTAACTATAGAGAAAAACTTTGGAAAACAAAATTTGAACAAGAAAATAGAAAAATGGAGGAGTTTTTTTTTTTTTTTTTTTTTCATGACTGAGCATTCCAGGTTTAGTGTTGTGTCTTGCTTATCTTTTGTGCCCGTTAATGGGGAAATCACATTGTCCAATCATTATTTAAGTTATTAACCTATGAAAAGTATGCCTGTGGCTTCTGTTTCAAATTCATTATTAATTTGAATGCATGAATCCATCTTAAGTAATTTGCCTCAGGAAAGGGGTTATTTATCCACGGAGCTCTGTTCCTCATTGTTTTTCAGGACTGTCCTTCTACACTACAGAGAAAGCATTATCAGATGCATTTTCCAATTACGGGCAAGTTGTTGAAGGTATCAATGATGAAATGCACCAACATAATCCATTCTCTGTGTCATCTCATTCTATGATTTTTCTGACCTTTAACAATGCTTACTGAACTCCTGTTTTGCAGCTAAAATTGTATCAGATAGGGTGTCAGACAGATCTAAGGGATTTGGGTTTGTCACCTTTGCTTCAGCAGACGAGGCTGAGAATGCCATAGCAGAAATGACAGGAAAGGTAATGAATGAATCAATGATCAAACTTGGGACTCTTCTGTAACGTAGAACTGAGGACTAACAGAAACTTTTTGCAGACATTAAATGGACGTGTTATCTTTGTTGATTATGCAAAACCCAATATCAACACTGGTGGTGGAATGCCAATTGCTAGAGGACCTCCTGAACCAACACCAGAAACTTGATATGATTTATAATATTTAATATTCTTGAGCAGGAGATCTATAGTATCAATCTTTCTTTCATCAGCTCTTGCTGCAGTACGTTGATCATTATGCACCCGACAATGAGAAGCACTGTTAAGCACACATGTGGAGGATTTTTGGCTGTGAGCAGAAGAATATAAAATGTCTCGGTAGGGTTTTTGTCCTTAGTGCCTAAGAGGGAAAGTTATACTCTGCTAAAAAAAATAGTCTTTTTAGGGTTCGGACATTGATTAAACACGATTTAATTCATATATATTTACTAAAACAAATACTCCTGATCTTTCATTACTACTGTCTCTTTTTAAATGTAAGTATTATTATATTAATTTCTCTTAATTATATGTAACAATAAAAAGATTCAACACATTCCTTTTGTGAAGGAAGACATTCAAAATATTCCTTCTTTTTTTTTTTTGAAGGAGTGACACAAAATACGGCATATGAGCTTTTTTATTTTAGATATAATAAAATTGTTTTTAACCATAATTTTTATTGAATAATTATTGAAATATAATTTAGGGACGAAAATAAAAGAAGGCAAATGATTAAGAAAATTATGTACATGGAAAATAATGGTAGTTTGACATTAGTTGAGGTAAATTCTTTAATCAATTGTGACTTAGTGTGTGAACTGCACCAAAATATTCAGAATACATAATTGATAAAGTGAGCTTCTAAAATATATTATCTAATATATAATATGAAAGTAGACATAAATAGTTTACTAGCGTAATTCTGATTGTCTTTTTGATAAAAAAAATTTTATAAAGATAACTAATTAGAAATCTATTTGAATATGAAATTTAAAGTATTTGTTAAAAAAAAAAAGTTTTGTCATGGATGAGACAACTCATGATCATACAACAATGTAAAAAAAAAAAAAAAAAAAAAAAAAAAAAAGCTCTTACCTAATTAATCCATCGCTTATTTCTAACTCAAATAAAATTGCCTCTTGTCAAAGAGTATACATAGTCTATGAGAAATTTGAGTTTGATCATCCAAGTAAAAATTAAGTTTAAACAAGTTAGGGTTAGATTAAATGAAATAAAAACCTTCGCCGTCTGTGGGGATCGAACCCACGACCACGTGGTTAAAAGCCACGCGCTCTACCACTGAGCTAAGACGGCTTTGATGTTAATTTGGGAGTTAGTATTTTATTTAAATTATTTATAAATTGAATGTTATTGCGCTCTCAATTTATATTGTTTTATATTGCCTTTCTAATATTTCATGGAATGTGCATGTTGTAGTCAAAGCAACTTAATTTTCTACCACCCCTTTATTATCAACACTTAAATGCATATGAAATTTGAAACTTTCTTAAAGAATATTTACTTATCAAACTAATAGGTATAAGAAACCAAAACAACTTGCTAACTGCTACCAACAAATGAAGGAGGAATAGCATAGGTCAGTACTTTCAATTTACAACAGTACTGACAACTATGAATTTTAACCCTATTTGTAAGGGTGTTGAAGGAAAGTATTCACTACAAATTTAATGTAAGTTATTAGATACTTTTAAATATACAAAAACATATTATTCATATATTTTGGCGAATTAGTCAAGAATGTCTCGCATGTGTTTTCTCTCACTCAGTCTTGTCTTACAGTAAATTTGAGGTTAGTAATTAACTTCTTGTAATCCCTTCTTACAGTGGTGTCCTGAGATAATTCTACATGTATTTTTATTTATTTTGCTATTTAGTTTTTAAGAAATAAATAAATAAATAATAATAATAATAATATATATAAATTTATTTTGATTTTAAACTGTATACATGCAATTACCCATATAAGTAGGCATGTCTTTTTACACAGTTTTATGTATTAATTAGGAGTTGATTTTTCTGAATTTTAGTACAAGTGGCCAATAAAAATTATTTAATGCTTAGCTTTGAATTTTGAGAAGAAAGGTTGTCCTGTAGTAAATAAAACAGGGATGTGATTGTTGGCTGAGGGGAATAGTTACTACACACAACTCTTCTATCTTCTGTACATCCATTTCAAACATTCCTTTTGTTTTAGAGCTTTTTTCAATCAAATCCTTTTTGCTTTTCATAAACATCACTATCTTCCAATATATTATCTGTGACTTTTTTAAGATAAAATCCAATTCAAGGATTTGTTTAGACCAAATTTAACATTAATTACATGATGTCTCTGCAGATATTTTCAGTACCATGTGTGTTAGCATGTAAAGATGGCAAAACAAAACTGTCAGGAATAGGAGGAAGTTGTTATCAATCACTTTATTATGAATCTCGTGTTAAATAGGAAAATTGTTTAAAATGAGACGAAGATTACTCATATAAGTAATTTTGACTAAGATTTAAACAATTTTTATCCGTAAAATTTATAATAAAATATTTAATTTTATTTTTAGGTAATTCTTGTTAAAAATTCGTTTATCTTTACGATGTCTAGGAAATATATAATAAATAATTATATTGTAATAAAAAACAACTATCGTTAAACCTGTTAAGAAGAGACTATTAATTGAGGTTGAAGCTTGATTATCGTATCTAAATAATATATATAATAAATAATTCTCTAGTTCGTATGAATTGACAAGGTCAAATATACATGAGTCAGATGCCTTAAAATATTGTGTTCACATGCTAGCAAAATCTAACTAGTATGATACAACTCGTAACAATCTATGGAGATCATATTGTCGATGAAAATAATGATCTTAAATAAGGCATAAACTTGTGTCAACATTCAATAATATATCTGTATACAAGATATGATGTTCATAGGTCATTTCCAAGCTTCACAAAATACCAGTTAACCAAGCCTCCTCACAATACGCCATTATTCAAAACCAAGCACAAGAAAGCAAAAAATTCTTCTTCCTGCCGAAAATAGAATGCTCCAATCAGCAGCCACTTCGAATTGTCTGATGATTCTAGTAGTTAAATACATTAAAAAAAGAAACTCTTACAAAGCATGGCGTTGGTGCGGGGGTGTCTACCACTACCAATTGTAGCTGCATAATTTCTCAAATCTTTTCAGCCCAAAAGACTATTTAACAACCTCTTTGATTACCTGATTCTAGTACTTTTGGAAGTTAAAATACACTTACAAAATGTTATTGGTGCAGTAAAATCACGACAACGATGCATGATCTGTTTCCGAAGAAAAAAAGTGAATCTGATGGGAAAATATTGGCAGCTATTATAAGAACTCAATCACTATTGATTAGAGTCTTAAGTAAACAATAACTAAATAAGTATAGGATGTTACATGATAAACTGAGACATACTTTAGCTGTATTTGTACAAATTTGTGGTGTTTTGTTGTGTGTTTGTGGATTGTATATTGATATTGATAATGATATTGAAGTGTATGTTATAAAAGAATATTCAGGAGAAAAATAGTGTGGAAATAGCGGCAAAGGACAAAAGCGCGAGGGCCACGCAGAGCATATCCAGTCTTCTTTCGTCTCTCATTTTCTTTTCCTTTCTCTCCATCTTTCTACTCATGAATTCCAAGTAGCTATCCCTTCCTTCGTTGTCTCCTTCAGCAAATAATCTTCCCCTTTTACCCTCCAATGCTCTCTGCAAAATTCCCAAACTCTCCTTCCCGTTCAGGACCATTCCATCCATGTCCTCCATCTGCACACAAGCTTCCCTCACCTGCATCTCACTCCCGCAAGTCACACTCACGCTGCACAGCACCGCCTCCGACGCCGACCCCCTCTCTCCTCCGCTCACCACCGTCGCGAACCTCACCTGCACCTCCCCGCTCAGCCAGTGCCGCTCCACAGACACCGCCCTCCCGCTCGACACATTCACTGCACGCTTTCCCTCAGGATCCACCACTATCCAGCTCAGCCTCAACTCCTCCCGGAGCCTCTCGCACGCTTCCTCGCTCCGCGGATACTCCATCGCCGTCGCCACCGCCTCCTTCGGATCCAGCACGTCAACTCTGAACGGCGAGCACCGGAACCACCCGGACTCCGTCTCCGTCTCCACCACCCGCGACAGAACCGGCCTCATCCCGTGGAAGAGGTCCACCGCCGTGACGAGCTCCGGCGTACGCTCGATGTTCGTGTGGTCAGAACTGCGTGCAGCAGCAAACGAAGAGAAGGAGTCGGAGAAAAAAGAACGAGAAGCGCGTGGGAACGTCGAGATTAAGTGGCGCACGCGTGGCGTATTGGTGGAGGGCCACGTGGCGTGGCAGATGTTCTCCCAGAGCTGCTCGTGTTCTGAGAGCGCGTGGAGCTGGGAGCACGTGCTGGCGATTGAGGCCAGCGCGGGACCGTCCAGGCGTCTAAGGATGTGGGTTTGAATTATGTCGGGATGCACGGCGGAGATGGTGGTAGCACCGCCTGCTTCGTTGGTGGTGGTAACGGCCGTGTTATCGGTGCAAGCCATAGTGTGGTTTTAGTTTGAAGCAATACCTTTGTCTTCCGACTTGTTATATAAATAGAGAGAGTGGCGAATGTAATGGACGATTGAAGGGTCAAAATCACTTTTCAAACCCCTCTTCTTTTTCACTTCTTTTACAAAACTACCCTTCTCCACCGTTGACTGACACCAACTTCAACACCAAGACACTGACTACAGTTGTGGCCCTTTCGGTATTTTTGGAATTGCCCTTAGTATATAAAAAATATTAAATAATCCTTTATGAGGTCTATAAAAAAACATGAACCATGTTGTAATATAATATTTAACCCTGGACCCATTAGAGCACCTAATCCCTTGGGATTTATATTTTTATTTCTTGGTGGATTTGCGTTTTTTTTTTATTGGCAATGATTAAAAGATTTATTGTTTATTTAAATTGGTAATTTATTTTATGAAATATTCCTTTAAATAAAAATTGATCAAGTATTCCAAAAAAAAAAACGTTATTTATGGATGGAGATGCGACAAACTTTGCCGTCATAACAAGCTTATCTAATGAACTTAAAAAAAAAAAAAAAAAAAAAAAACAACAACAACGAAGGATGAAGATGAACGTAACGCTACGCTACGCATTTCCCTTGCCAATTGTCGTTGTCATAATCATAAGCCTGCCCATATAAGCGTCAACTATCAAACTTAGAATTATTTACCAAAAACATAAATAGAGTCTGCCTAATAAGCTGAAAAACATTTAACAAAATTTACTCAATAATAAAGCTTAATTACTTAAAAATATATTTAATTCATTACAATATATTTTAAATATTATAATTGAAACCTGTATTTGATATTTTTTATTACTTTTAACTTGAGGAGAATAACTTGAAATTAATTTACTTTTATTGTTTTCTTATACAAAACTTATTTCACAATAACACATATAATAAGAATGTGATGCTTTTTCTTAAAGAAGCAATTTTTGTTTTTTATTATTTATTTAATGCCATCTATAATATATTGTAATTTTTTATTTGATATCCATAATCATATATTCCAGAAGGTAACCTAGTTTATTGTGACACGTGTTGAACAAACTGTTAATTGAAAATTTCATTCCAATTGAAAAATATTGATATGACTCTACAATTAAGATTAAGAAATTCATTATAACAAGTAATTTGATCCTAATCGTACCTAACTTCATTCTTTTTATTAAGTTTTTGACTTTTAAATTTTATGATTTGAAAATATGTATTTATAAGAGAATCAACGATTTTGGAAGGTTATAAAAAAATCATCTTCATTATTTAAATGAAGATAATATGATAATAATAACATTACAACACTATGACTTACTGTTATGTACGTACATTAAGTCATTAATTACTAATTTTTTATTAATATATATTCTTTATTTTATACACTAAAATAAAATTTCTATCAATGACTTACGGTTAGGCACAAAGTCATTAATTATTAATTTTTATTAACAATTATTTTATACTTTATACACAGATAATTTAGGAACCATTTTGTATGCTTAAAATTATATTTTTAAGTTACATATCCAAAAATAAATTACAAAATTCTACATGCAACTTTTATTTTCATATATTATTATTACGATAAATTAAGTATTATATATATATATATATATATATATATATATATATATATATTGCTAAAAAGGCTAAATTGTGTCTTAATAATAATAAAAAATACTCATCCAAAATAAAATATAAATATAAGAGATAATTAAAAAAATTAAGAATTAATTAAACATGTTGAATATAGAAGAAATAGAGTTTGGGATTAATCTCCCTTGTGTATAAATCACACATAGGGTAGTCTATTTATAGTAGAGAGATACAACTAAAAGAGTAACTGAAAGTAACGAGAATAAACGAGAAGATATTGTTTGATATTATGGTTAATATCTAACAATATCTTAACAATATTAAATAATATCTAAACAATATCTAACACTCCCCCTCAAGTTGGAGCATACAAATCGTATGTGTCAAGCTTGTTACAAATATAATCAATTCTAGGACCCAGTAAAGATTTAGTAAAAATATCTGCTAACTGATCACTTGAGTTAACAAACTCGGTCTTGATGTCTCCAGACATAATCTTTTCTCGAATGAAATGACGATCAATCTCAATGTGTTTGGTCCTCTCATGAAAGACGAGGATTAGAACTAATATGAAGAAGCGACCTGATTGTCACACACAAGTGACATTTGAGTGACATCTCCAAATTGTAATCTCTAAGCAATTGCTTGAGCCAAACAAGTTCACAAGCAGCTGAGGCCATAGTTCTATATTCTGCTTCGCACTAGATCTTGCCACAACACTTTGTTTCTTACTTTTCCATGAGACCAAGTTACCGCCAATGGAGACACAATATCCGGATGTAGATCTTCTATCGGAAGGAGATCCTGCCCAATCAGCATCCGAGTAGCAAACAACTCTTGTATGGTTATTAGAATCATATAACAATCCTTTTCCAAGAGATCTTTTAATATACTTTAAGATACGAATGATCTGCATTCCAATGATCTTCACATGGGGAATTAAGAAATTGGCTTACCACACTGACTCGCAAAGGAAATGTCGGGACGAGTAACTGTAAGATAATTCAATTTTCCAACCAATCTTCTATACTTGTTCGGGATCGGGTAAAAGTTCCCCCGATTTGGTAAAAGTTTAGTATTGGGATCCATGGGCGTATCAACAGGACTTTGAATTCATCAACCCAGTTTCCTCTAAAATATCCATGGCATACTTCCTCCGAGATATAACAATACCATCATTGGACTGTGCCACCTCAATACCCAAGAAATATCTAAGTTTGCCAAGATCTTTGGTCCGAAAATGGTGACAGAGATGTTGTTTCAAGCTGAGAGATGCCATGGTTGTCACTACACTGTAAGAACGATGTCATCAACATATACTTATCAAGTAAACACATCCAGACACTTGAGTGTCGATAAAAGATAGAGTGATCTGCTTCACACCGAGTCATACCAAATTGTTGAACAACCTTGCTAAACTTTCCAAACCAGGCCCTAGGAGACTGTTTTAGGCCATATAGGGATTTGCGAAGACGACATACCATCCCGAGAAGACTCCCCCGAGCAACAAACCCAGGAGGTTGCTCCATATAGATTTCTTCTTGCAAATCACCATTGAGGAAAGCATTTTTAACATCTAGTTGATAAAGAGGTCATTGTTGAAGAGCGGCCATGGCGATAAATAAACGAACGAAGTCATCTTTGCCACAGGGGAAAAGGTATCTCCATAATCCAAACCAAAAATTTGAGTATAACCTTTGGCCACAAGACGTGCTTTGAGGCGATCAATAGTACCATCAGGTCCAACTTTGATAGCAAACACCCACCCGCAACCAACAACAGATTTTCCAGACGGTAGCGAGACCAAATCCCAAGTTCCACTATTATGAAGAGCACTTAGTTCATCTAACATGGCCTGACGCCAACCAGGATGGGCTAAAGCTTCACGGACAGTTTTGGAATGGTCACGAGAAGAAAGAGAGGAAAGACATGTATAAAAAGGTAATGACAGTCGATGATAACTCAAACCAATATAATGAGGAGAGGGATTACGTGTAGAACGGATACCTTTTCGGAGGACAATGGGAAGGTCAGACTCAGGTGTCACATTCGGAGGAGACAGAGTAGTTGGCACTTGAGTAGAGTCACATGGTGGTGGTTGTGATTGGTTTCGGCAACTATAAACCTGAAGAGGTAGTGAAGAAGAAGTTGATCTGCGGAGTAGAATCTAATGGTGAAGAAGACACAATTAGAGGGTCACAAACAACGGGAACATTAAATGTACTAGGAGTGTTGACAATATTGGATGGAGACGAGAGGTGAAGATTGACTTTTAAAATAAAAAGAGAACTCATCAAAGGTGACATCTGCAGACACAAAATAACGGTTAAGAGAAGGAGAAAAACATTTGTATCCTTTTTGTGATCTTGTAAACCCTAAGAAAACACATTTATGTGATCTAGGAGAAAGCTTGTCAAGACTAGAACTAAAATTATGAACAAAACATGTAGACTCGAAAACTTTTAGAGGTAAGGGATGAAGTGGTTCATGAGGGAATAAAATGGAATGAGGTATTTTATTATCTAGAACCAGAAGATGGCATGCGATTAACAAGATAACATGCGAGTAAGAAGAGCATCACCCCAAAAATGCTGAGGAACCTCTCCATGAATTAAAAGAGTGCGAGTTGTTTCAATAAGATGTCTATTTTTACGTTCGACTACACCATTTTGTTGAGGTGTATAAGCACAAGAAGTTTGATGCAAAATACCATGAGAAGCCATGAATTGTTTAAAAGAATGAGAAAGATATTCACGACCATTATCACTGCGCAAAACTCTAATAGAAACACCGAACTGAGTTTGAATTTCATTGAAAAAAGTTTGAAAGATATGAAATAATTCAGAACGATTTTTCATCAAAAATAACCAAGTACATCTGGAATAATCATCAATGAAAGTAACAAAGTATTGAAAACCTAAAGTAGACTTAACGCGGCTAGGTCCCCAAATGTCAGAGTGAACCACGACAAAAGGGGACGAAGCACCACGTGTGACACTACGAGGAAAGGAAGTACGAATATGCTTGCCTAATTGACACGACTCACATGCCAAACTAGACAATTTAGATAAGGCGAGGACAAGTTCGTCGTAACTTGGCAAGACTTGGATGACCTAACTGAGCATGGAGAAGAGAGGGAGACTCTATAACTGCACCAACATGTGTAAAGGGACGAAGATGATAAAGACCATGAGACTCACATCCTGTGCCAATCACCTGTTTCGAACTCCGGTCCTGTAAACACACAGAATTGTTGGTAAAAGAAACAACACAATCAAGAGAACGAGTTAGACGACTGATGGATAACAGGTTAAAAGGAGACCCAGGGACATAAAGAACATTATCAATGGTTAAAGAAGGGAAAAATTTAACGAGTTCCAACACCATGAGATGATACTCTAGAGCCATCGGCTAGTGTAACAAAAGGTAAAGGATCGGGAGAGGATAAAGAGGAGAACAAAGATTTGTTACCAGTAATATGATCGGTGGCTCCTGAATCAAAAACCCAAGGACCGAGAAGAAGATTGGGTCGGACCAACAAAAGATGTACCTGTGTGTGCGACAGACACGGTAGAACTAGAAGACTGTTGATCCTTATACCATTTGAGAAATTTGTTGAACATAGCAGGTGTGTCCGATGAAATAGAAGAAGGAGGATCCTTAGCGAGATAAAGGTGGGAAAAAATCGAGTCCGAGCAACTGCAGTAGATCGAGTAGGACGACCATGTAATGCATAACACTTGTCAATCTTGTGACCTAGTTTGCCACAATGTTCACACTCATGTAATGCATAACACTTGGTCAATCTTGTGACCTAGCTTGCCACAATGTTCACACTTAGGACGTCCTTTTCCCTGTTTGCGAGGGCGAGTTCGATCATCACGGTGAGATACCAATGCAGAAGAATCATTAACAGAAGCAGGTGTGTCAGGGTTGAGTTTTGCTGGTATACGCAAAAGAGTGGAGCAGGTCGATGTCAAGGTGGGGACAACCGGAGAACCCAAAATCGATCACGAATATGTGAATATTGATCGGCAAGTCCGTGTAATGCCCCTAGCATGAAGAACTTTGATCGTTGTCCTATCTCGGTGGCGAGGTCGGGGAAGGAGGCAATAACTCATTGAACTCATGAAAAAGAGCATGAATTTTGCCCATATAATCGGTCATAGAATCTTGATGTTTAGAGGAAATAACATCTACAAATTTAGAACAGACATCATAGAGACGTTGAGTATCATTGGTGTATAATAACTTGGCATGTTCCCGGATTTTTGCACATGTTTCGTAGGAACGAAAAATTTGTTTTAACGAAGGATCAAGGGTACCCTTGAGAACCACGCATAATTGAGCATCAATGGTGTCCCAACGGTCTTCCTCACCAGGAGTGAGAGTAGGTGCTTTCGGGACAAGATGATCAAGATACTTCGACTCTTAAGCCATAATCTGACGTCCGATGACCATGTGGCATAATTAGGGCCGGTTAACTTGTCAATGGATAAGTGCACATTAACATAGTTAGTGTAGATGGAAGGATCGGATGCGATCTTGACAGAACTGGAAGTACTAAAAGGAGCGGAAGAACTCATAAAGGACGAAGGCGATAGTGACAGCGGCGTGAACCGAGTACACCGGGTAAGTTCCCAGGAAAGAGAGGTGGGTCACTAATGGACACGCTTAAATACCAAGTCTTTCCTTGTCGAACTTTCCTAGACATGCACTTTCACACTACCAAATAACCGACAACGATAGCGGCGGTGGTGGCGACTTCAATAGTGGTCTAAGGCGGAAAAAAAATTCAAAATAACCTTAAGCTACGATACCATGTTGAATATAGAAGAAATAGAGTTTGGGATTAATCTCCCTTGTGTATAAATCACACATAGGATAGTCTATTTATAGTAGAGAGATACAACTAAAAGAGTAACTGAAAGTAACAGAATAAACGAGAAAATATTGTTTGATATTATGGTTAATATCTAACAATATCTTAACAATATTAAATAATATCTAAACAATATCTAACAAAACACATTCATTTATTTTAAAGTTATTGTCTTATAGGAGTACAAATATTAATTATATAATATTCTTACTCTTTATCAAAATGTTGATAGGTATTTTAGTATCAAATGCTTCATTTATTCAAGACATACATATTTATATTAAAATAGTTATTTATTCAAATAATAATTTTATTATCGATCAGTATTTCTATTTTCCAATCGCCATTAAATGCAACGATGCACTTCTAATTTATTATAATATCTTTCATTGATTGATGAATTGGTTACTGTATTTGAAAGCCTCTCACATTTTTTTTATATATATTACTTTTGGCACGAGGCACACGATTTATATAATGTTGTACACGCAGATAATAAAATAAGAGAAAAATATGTGAATGGAAGTTTCCATATCACTTTCTGTTCAAATTCGTCAGCTAATTAAATACAAGACATTAATGACAACAGTAATGTATTAATACTTTTATCATTTAATTAAGTGCAATTTGGTTGTTTATTTGTATATTTGCGCAATGTTTAATCTCGTATTTTTAACCCATGGATGTTAATTTCAATTTTTTACCATACTTATTTTTTGTTTTTATTAATCTCACATCTATGTAGTAACGTAATTTACTAACGTCACTTATTTTTTACTTAAACACTTGATGGGCACATAATTAATTACATAAGAACATCATTTGACATATTACTATATTAAAATATAAAACAAAACTGGTTAGAGTTTTGTGAGATTTTCACTTACCTTGATTAGATTTGCAAAGACATAATATATAGTTTTATTAGTAGTTGTCTGTTAATTAAGAGATGAACAATGTCAACAAAATTAGTTATAGTTTGGAATTAAACTAAGGAGAAATCCAACTCTAGCATGTATAATAAATTCAAAGACTAAAAATTCATCTATTATAATTATGGAGGCAAAATTTTCATCATACAAATTTGAAAAATATTTAAGTGTTTCTATTTTTTTTATCATGACTATTTTCTAATGAAACACTCTCCTTATTTTTTAAACAACTTATTCAGTTATTTTTCTACGGATAATATAAAAAGATTTTTCATTATTATTTAATTATAACATTATACATTATACATATATATATATATATATTATATATATATATATATATATTAAATTTACTAATTTTATAATAATTATATTTTCTAGTTAATAGTATGAACAATGCATATCATGGGCGTGTGAACTAATTAATGTAAAGTTGTTAATAAATTTGACTGATATTTGCTGATTGCGATTTTAAAAGAAAGTTCATAATTGTATCTTTTTGGTGATTCTTGTTCAATAAGATTGATTGTGAAAATTAACATATAAATGACAAAAACCACAAACATAATGTAAAAAGAATTTAGATTGATTGTGGTGTGAAACAAAATTGGTTTGTGGGTTGTGTATATTCAATATTGCATGATTTTAAGTTATTTATTTTTCCTAGCAACTTATTTATTTAAGAATAGAGAGATAGTGAGTAAACCAATTTTGGAATGTTTGTCTTATAAACATAGATACAGTTCTTAAGCTTTTCAATCACTGTAAGAACAAATTACATATCTTAATTTACACAATTCAATAAATGATATTTTCGGGCCAGCAGATTTGGGTCTGGCCCAACATATGTTTGGCCTTCATTGAGTTAAGATGGGTCGACTATAAAGCCTTTCCTTGATTGAATATGAAGGTTGACACCCATACAAAATTACCTAGTAATATGTGAAGGGTAGATAAGCAATATATATAATCATATAGATTTATGAAAAATTATTATATATATATATATATATATATATATATATATATATATATATATATATATTATAATAATCAGTAACAAATCAATAAATTTTCAACATTAATTGTAATTTTAAAAATAAATTTTATATTTTAACTTTGTGATGATTGTAATTTTTAACTTGATTTAGTCTAGTTGTCTTTAAACTATTTTCAGTGACTAATTGGAAATCAATTTATCATTTCTCTGCCATTGTCTCGTTTTGGTCTCTACAGTTACAGTTAGCTACGATAAGAACTGTGTTCGCAATTTGGAGGTTTCAAATGAAAGTGAGGGTTGTGTGCAGGAAAATTTACGACTACGTACGCCATGATCTCAAAGAAATCGCTTTCCCCTCTTCTTTGCCAGACCCTCCTCACATAAAAAAGCGCCGCAAATTGACTTGGGATGAGCGTATCTGGGTATCCCTCTTTTCACTAAGGCTTATTTTACCTTTTTAATGTCAACTTTCCTTCTAATATCCCCTTCACATCAATTGACTACAGTTTTGTTTTCCGTATAACGCATAGGCATTGTTACTTTTCTTTTTCTCTCAATTGTAACGATCAAAAAGAGCTTATTGTGGTTGAAATACATGGTTTTAGGGTTTATTGTGGATGTTGTCGTGTGTCGATTAGGGTGCAATTTGGAGATACTGAACTTTAGTTAATTGACTTTGAAGGGATGCCACCTGGCTGATAGTAATTTAGATTGTACTGAAACATTCAATGTCCAGGTTTTGAAGCGAGCTTCCAGGCTTTATGCCGCAAGCTGGGTTCGTGATATTGGTCCTGACCTTCGGCCAGATGATTATAAGAAGGATGACATGACCGATGAAACAAATGCTGAAAAGAGAACAACTAAAGGAAAAGAACCCTCAACACTAGAGGATCTTGGTACCATCTTTTCTCTAGTTTAATATCAGTATGCTGTATAGAATCAATGTCAAAATTAGGATTGTTATGATTGAAGTACAACGGTGCTTGTTGCTGTGGATTTATTGAACAGTAGTTATGTTTGTGCCTATACTCTTTGACATTTGTTCAATTCCTACATATAAAAAAATAAATTATTTGGTGTATGCATCTAGTTATGCGAATTACTTAAAGAAACTATAGTGTATCTATGACTTATATCAAGAGAAAGCAATAAGGATGCCGCAGAATATCGAGTCAACAACAGTGCTTCAGAAAGAAAAGTACTTATGATTATCTCAAACAATTAGTCTAAGATTTTTCGCCAACTAGAGTGCCACCGCATTCTTATTCGGCATTGTGTAGAATGCTTTCTCCCTGGTATATTTGCTGCTCCAAACCTCTGTTTTCAGATTTTTATGCTATAACCTCCCTCTCTTTTCTTTCTTGGTTTTAGTCTCCCAACCATTTTTATTTTCTAGTAATGAGTTTTTGAAGGTATTTTTGAAATTTGACCAAGCATATGCATTTTTACTGAAAATTTGCAGCTGTAGCTGCTAGAGGAGGGATGGAGACCCTCAGACCTGCTCTGCAGCGTGTTTACATGACCAGAGCATCTGCATACAGAGATGCTCTTAAAAGTTTCGTAGAAGGGTACCAAGAGGGTGTTCAGCAAGTGATGGAGAAGAAGGAAGATTCCAAAACGCAAGAAGATGGCGATCTACCCCCCAAAAAAACAAGTTGAACTTGCTTGTAGGAGGCAGGGTGTTGTTTCTTTTCTTGCAGAACAACCAGTCATTTGAGCTAAGGCATGAAGATTGACAGAAATAACTGACATTCCTCTTGATTAAAGGGTTTTAATGTACATTGCACTGAACATATATAATTGACTGTTCCAAAATGAGTGTATTTTGGATAATAAATATCCAGTGGTAATCCTTAGTTTTGTTTTTGCAAATTTTGTTTGAGCTTTTAATTTTAGTTGCTTATTTGTGATGTTAAAGGTATGTTTGCTCTGCAAATAGAAGCATTAGCATTAGCATATGTTCATGCCATGTTTCTTTAACGGCTAGCTATACATAATGATGTATAATGTATTATCTATTATCTATTATTTTATTATTTATTCATTCACCCCTAAAGATACATAGTCTGAATAGATGCTGACGATACAGAATTCTTTTTAGTTCCACATATTTGAATTTTAACAATTTGCAAGTAATCACATCACATGGTTTCGAATTTTAACAATTTCAAGTAATCACACCAGTTATAGTTTCTATCTTCCCGAGCTTGAGCAACTATTATGGGACAGATTTTGGGTAGAGATGGGATGGTGGTGAAGTTCTTTTATTTCATCCTCCCCATTTCTGCTTATGGATGCATGCAAATATAATTACTGTATGCATTTAATACATTTAAAGGTCACTATTGCATGTTTCTTTTGCTCACTTGGAGAAATGTGAATTCATCTGCTAAAAGATGATATAAGGAAAGGCTCATATATGATTGATTCTGGGTTGGTTTGTATGGTATCTTTGTCTACTACTGTTTAGTGAAGATCTTATTGTCATTTTTTCTAGGTAGAATTACTTTGGCATATATGCAGGTGGGCTGAATTATCAGCCGAGACTTGAGGTAGCACTTCTACCACGGGTTGTCTTTTTTTATTTGAAAACATGTATGTGGCAGACAATTTGGGTCATGAGATGCCAGGTTGAATACTTTTGGCTTCATTGTGGAGATTGAGATGACTGAAAAGACTTGCATAATGAGAGATAAGACATAAAATTAAGTCCCCACAAAATACTATGGATTCCATCTTTCGGGTGATAAGCCTGCTATATGGGTCCATTTCCTTATGAAGATTGTATCAACAGTCTTGGTTTGAATTATGGAAGAACAGTTTTACTATTTCAGGTAAGAGTTATATGCTTATCTTTATTAGCATTATAGGTAGGGATTGTATTTTCTACCTTCCCTCATGGCCAAAGTTTGCCGGGAATCTTTTAAATCACAGGTTTTAAATCAGTAATAATGACATTGAGGGGCATAATCTAAAAGATTGTCATACGTTTTAGTTTTACTACTCTGCCGTGAGAATCAATTTGTTAGGATGAACCTGATGTGTTATCAGCATTGCTTTGAGATTTATAATTTTGTTTTTGGTTGTTCATATGCTGAAAGGTGAGGCTCAGGTTACTGAGATGTAAAGGGAGTTTTTGTTGGTGTTGATGCTAATACGAAGACGTGCTTTATTCTTCAAGAAGAAATCAAATTCCCATTTGTGTTCTGTATTCTACATCATCACCTAAAGGAGGCGCAGGGTGAGATTCATCCGTGACCTCTGAAAATAATGCCAAAGTGGTGTGGCATCAAAGATACACACTCGTATAGTATTTCTCTCTTATTTTTCCCTTTAATGTCATCTGTACTGTATTACTATTAATGCATAACTGTATCACTCCTGCAGGTCAAAGCCTTTCATTTCTTTGATAGGCCATTGTGTGTAGGCCAATGATAAACAACACAATCTCAGGACCCTCCCACTTGCAGAGCCAGTGTGAGCCACTGAGAGAGAGATTGGACAGCTTCTCTAGCAGGAGCTCAATGGGCCTCTTGAGTAAATCTTTATGGGCCCCTAATAATCACATGACACACTATTTGATTCCTCTTAAAGGTATTCTGCACTCCTGTCGTTCTTTTGCACAATTATATTGCATTAACTTGTATCGATCATGTTGATTGAAAGCTAAAAGCTTTGTTGAAGCCACTGTTTAAACACAGTGGTCAGTTCAAGCTCTTCTCTCCTCCCCTAGGTCCTTAAAAAGTTGGATTATTTTGTTTCTTCTTCCTGTGTGAGAGACAAGGGCAAGGACTTGTACTCGAGTTTTGGTACTTAAGTGAGCTGAATCATTGATTAAAAGCACTTCACTGACGGGTCACATTCTCGTTTCCTCAAACCCAGCTCGTCGTCTATACAGGCAGTTAATTGTACAACAGTTAAAACTTCAGTCACTGAAACTGTCTTTCTTCACCTGATAATACCTCTGTTGTACCAGAAGTTTGGCATTTTTTTTCACCTTTGATCCATGTCACATTAATGGAATAAATAAACGCTACAACTAGCGTGTACGTGCGGAGGAGCTATAAACTTAAAGAGAGAGGTTCAGGGATGGAAATCAATCAACTCAAATGGACCAAAATTATTTCACTCATTGTGCCTTACCCATTAATCAGTTAATAAGCCAACAAGAAAACCTGAGGTTGCCTTGCCTCAATGGGGTTGACTAGGTTCTAGAGAGTACTTAAAGTTGAGAATTACACAATTAAGAATTTACAGCTGATATAAACAGCATTCAATGTGAGACGTACTGCATTGCCTCGAGTGACATACTGTTTTACTTGCTTGCTCGTTAAGGATATCCCTGTCTCCTTTTTAATTTATGGTCTATATTCTCCATTTTCCCTCTTTGTTCAAACATTTTACCCTAGTCAGCTACGTTGTGAACGTTTTTTCTCTTCCCTTTTTATTTCATTGCGTGTAGTTTATAGTTTGTAAAAACTTACAACTCCACAGAACAGACCACAAAAAACAGGTCTGCCCACAACCGGGGGGTGTGGGGGACCATGGCCTGTTGACGTGCCCAAATTTATTTCTGTCTTCAGCTTCTCCAATTTTGCTTGATTTTCATCCACCTGCAAAACGCTCACGAGGAGAATCTTGTCATTACACAAATAAATGCATCTTCAGATATTACTACCTGAAAATTTTCATGAAAACAAAAATTTGAATATCAGATATTAGGATAAATCTAAAATATCCCCCTTGAAATGATGATCATTCCTGTAGGCTGTAGCAGCTATACTCCATATCTGCATATATATTTTGGATATTGCTTTTCTAAAGTAAGTAATATTAGTTGTTGGTGATTAGTCATAAATTGATATGTATGGTTGAAATTACTTACCGAGTGGGATAAGGGTTTTTGTTGCTTGTTTGAGAAAACTTATTTTACCAGCATGCATGCTTTAAAATAGCAGGATCCATATAATATGTATTGAGTTGAGATGTGTGTGTCACCACTACTAAGAGGTGGAAGCATATAGCATGTGGTTTGTGTTGCTTAACTAGAGCAGTGGGCTTAGTAGTACGTATTTGGTTGTGTTATCTATCAAGTCAAGTCAAGTCCACCCACCCACCCACCCACCAATGCCAAATAGCAGCACACCATCTGTGGCACCATACCTTACCTCCCACGTATATTATGATGAGCCCTTGTGAAAATCTTGAGGCAGAATCCCAACAGTAGCAAATTGATTCCTCATTTCTGATTTCCAGTGACCTAAATTCTCCATTTAGAACTTGGATGACGTCATTCAGCTCTCTCAGTGGGCCCCGTCAAAACCTCTCCATACCATCTGAATCTGCCCTCTGGCTGCAGTCTCTTTTCTTTTCCCATCACTACTCTCCACCTTCGGGTTTACTCGTTGCTACTCTTTTGGTGTGAAAGTTTGGTAAGAAAATCAGGGATTTCTTTTCTTTTTCTTCCTTCTAGTTTTTCCATCATATTTCTTTCTGCCCCTCCCCCCTTCATTTCCCCTCCCCTTTCCCTTTTAGGCAGGGTTTGAGGGGGAACCTGACAAGTGGGTTAATTGGATCAATTATGGGATGTCGCATCCACCTATCGTTGTCCTTGGTGATTTCTCTTCTGGTTGACATCCTGTTGCAATCACGCATCGACACACTATGTTAATTCCCACTTTGTTTTTCACTACAGTTGAAAACATTTAAATAGTTATGACACATGCATACCCCATAAAAAGTAAGATATGCCATTGATATTATTATGAAGAAAAAAGAGGAATGTTAGGAACAAAAACGTGTTGATCAGTTTAAGTAAACAAATTGAGTAAGTAAATAACAGTTTCAAAACATTATTGGTGATCTTCATTGGTTATCTATGTCTGTGTTTTATTTTTCCTGCACGCATTGAGTTTTAAACCAATGCTTGTCTACTACGCGTATAATATTGACTGTTTCTCCGATGAGTGCGTTTCCTGAGGACTCGCGAGGTAGCTACTCAATCAACACATTTTTAATTATATTAAAAATGAGGTATAAACGTTTAGGCAAAAACTTTTTCTACCTGTTCGAAGAATCAATTAAACCTCTCTTTCCCGGATACCAAAATATATACCAAGAAAGTAATCCCTTAAATTCAGGATTCGGAGGTGGGAAAAACAACTTGAGTGTGACTTGAAGAGATACTAATTAATTACAATAGCTTTATAACAATCGAAAGGCTAACATAGTTGGTTGACTTTTACGTGTTGCAGATTCATTTAGTTTGCATTAGGAGAGTGTTGGATAGACTTCTCAACCACGTATGTGTTGGAAAGTTAATCCAGGGCATTCGTTGCGTTTAATGATGAAACTTAATTAATTACAAGGTTTTCAAGGCCCACAAGCAAGTTCATTCTTTTTTTGGGGAGAGAGAAAGATTAATTATAATCTGTTCTTTCCATCTTTCAAACTTCCAATTGTATGACTATTGGTTGGTAGACCACGCCACCAGATACACATCATACAACGTGGGCCAAAACAGAAATGAGATTTACCCAATAAATTCTGTTCCATGGTCCATGGTTAATCTAGTTGCATTCGTTGCCTTTCACCTCTCACCTCACAATAGTAGAGAGAAAAAGGTGTTTCCAATTAAAAAGAGAATGAAGCTAACTCTGTCTGGTAAAAGTAAACAAACAGTAGTTTTACATCCATATTAATCAAAGATGCAGGATCAATTAAATGAATCCAAGACAATCTTGACTTTGATCAATCCTCACATGACTCAAATTAAGCGGAGATGCTCATATGAAGTCTGGTCAATTTATGCGCTGTATTCAGTTTTCGCATATATTATATTTACAACTTTCCCCTTGAACCTTTTTAATAAATTTAAGGAGTGTAGTTTTTATGCGTCAACAGTGTAAAAAAATCTTACACTATCAATCCATAAAAATAAAAAAAACAAGATTAAGATGACTTTTTAAGATGATTATGCTAAAAATCCAAAAAAATAAAAAAGGCTATATGAAGAAAAAATTGTAATTTGGTGACGTTTTTGGTCCGTCAGTGTATATTCTATACACATTTTTCTTGTATAATAATAAGAGGCAAAGACGATAGAAAACATGTCCCATGATCCATCTGGCATTCATTTGATGGCTTAGTTTATAATAAAATAAATATGCTCGAGTGACAGGGAACAAGAAGATCCGATAAAACGAATAAACAAGGCATTTTCATTTGCATGCATCTCCCTAATTGAAGACAAGAAAGATCCTCTATAATCTTCAACGTCAACCTAAATACACTTATAATAAAGAGGGTTGATGTTAACGACACGGTCATTGACTAAAATTAATTAAGGGCATACCTTAACCCTGAAGCTGGAAAGAAAAAGAAAAGAAAAGAAAAGAAGAAGAGAATCTAATAAAGGGGGCATATATATGTAATAGATTGTAATTGTATTATGGTTGTTGACGTAGCATGTGATGGTGAGTGTTGGAAGAAGAATAAGAGGTTTGACGGTGTAAGTGGTGGTGGGCAAGTGAAGAGGAGGAGAGAGTGTAAGAGCATTGTGGCGTGGAGTTTTGGGAATCATTATCAGGTTGGCATTCCATGTTCACCCCAAACAGCCTCAGCACCCTGCCACTTGAACTGTTCCCTCCCGGTGTCGTTTCGTTCTGTCCTTGGGACCCTCCACCTGTAAGTAACAAACATTACAACACGTGCAAATGCCCACACTTTAATCATACACATTTCATGTTCCAATCAATTCTTTTAACCTTACTACCATACCATATTCATCTTCATCTTCATATTCTCATTCCTATTTTTCACCACCTTTACTTCAACCAAACACACGCGCCTGCTCCTCACGCCGCATGCCAAACACCACCCCTTCTTACTCCTATTTCCAAACCCACATTTTCTCCCAACAATATAATCTTACTTTTACTTCAACCCTACTTTTAATTCAAATCACAAAGTAAATGAAATAGTGTATAATAAATATATCGACGATGACGAACCTGGTGGTGCATGAAGACAGTCAGGTTGGTATGGGAAAGGGAGGTGATGCGCAGGATAAGGGTGCGCAGAGTAGAAGGAGGGTGTGGCGCTCCTGGTAACGTGAGCGGGGGGGTTCGGTTGGCGGCGGGTGGAGCTGATGAAGAAGCGTTGAGGATGGGTCCGGTGTCTGTGGAAGAAAACCACGTCGCCAGCGTGAAGCCGTTTGTCCTTCACGTAACGACTCCATCCTTTGGTCAAAACGTAACTCTGGCTACTGTTCCAATAAGAGTAACGGAAGCGCCAGCACTTCCCGGACTCGTCCTCGAAACTCAGCAACACACCCTTCGCGCTGTCACCGCACGACGACGACGACGACGAAGACTCCAGCGGGAAGTGCTTCTCCGCGTGCTGTTTCGGGATCACCAACCGGTTCAGCTTCCCCACGTCGCTCGGAGTCAACGGCTTCTCGAACATCGCTTCCTTCTCCTCCTCTTCCGTCGCGCCACCACCACCCTTCTCCGCCGCCACCACCTCCTCTTCCTCCTCCTCCACCTCCTCCTGGTTGTCGTTCAGGTTGAAACGAGGAGTATGAGAGTTGCCGAGCCACGTGGCGGCCGGTTGTTGCTCGCTCCAGTATAGTCTCGCTTCTGGTGAGAAGTGGTTTATCGACATTGAGAATGGTAAAGAGAGAGAATGAAGGAAGAAGGGACGGTAAGAGGCGTGGTGATGATGATGATGATTATGGGTTCATTTGATGTGGAAGCTGTGGGAATCACTGCTTGTTTGATGGACCTAGCAAAGATATGACAATGAGAGAGAGAGAGAGAGAGAGAGAGAGAGAGAGAGAGTACGAGAGTACTTTAAGGTTATGTAAGGTGCCAAGTGCGTTACTATATGAAGAAGAAGAAAAATAATAAAAAGACAAAGTCTTTTTGGGTTGTTTCGAATTTCGATGCTGTTTTTCGGTTTCTTTATAAATTAACGTTTTTTATTCTTCATTTATTTGTTTCCGTGTGAACTTGGTAGTATGGTTAGGATTGTTACTTTTTCTGATAAATGGTATGATAATGAAAGTGTGATGTGTTCGTAGAAGGTGTAGACTTTGTATTGTATGAGTTCTAAGTGAGACACGGGGAGATTTTTAAAATGAAATAATTACCGAATTGGACCGAACATGTATGTTTATGAGAAGGAGAGAGATATTGTAGAGTACAGGTGAATAATTTGGTGTAATTAGGGACATCCCATGTTAGTAAATTGGCTTACAAATCAAGTGATGGGGCCCTTTTTACCCAACCCTCACCCCTCCTCAGAGGCTCATTCCCATTAACCACTCATCATATCTAATAATCAAACTTATAATCCCTTAAATATGTTGCTTTCGGTTATATTGTGCTTTAGATATAATGTGAAGGTCACAACTCACAAGATTATGTCTTCAATTTTCTTTTTCTAATGTTTATCAAAAGTAACCATTTAGTAATGGACAAAAAAGTGACCATTTGAATAATGGTTTATTTTGTGCTTGTTTGGTCTCTGCCTGTAAACTCTGGCATGGATGGAGGGGAAAACTAACGTAGAGTGGTCCACGTTCGTCCTCCACAACTTGTGTGTTGAATCTGAATGATGGACATGTATATGAATATAAATGAATATAGGTCTGATTCATTTCAAGTCTTCTGAAAATGTATTATGCTGAGGATAACGAAAGAATAGTGCTGTGTCACGTGCATGACTTCATTATTGGTGTTTGGCCATTCCTGGTTTTCAAATTAAGGAAGCTATACATCAAATTGAATGCGTCATGGACACAGGGCAGAGAAGAAAACAGCACAAACAAACAAAGACATGGGAGGAGTAAATTTAAGTTTTCTCCTCTCCTTTCAAATAAGCAAAGAGTAATATTTGATTTGTCCAATTAGAGAAGACACAAATCCTGCATCCTAGTCTTGTTTCAATCCCCACCTTCCACATCTCTCGTACACATAATCACACACACTCTCTCTCTCTACTTATTATATGGTCCTATTGCTGTCTACTCATCTTTATTTTTTTATATATAGTTGTAACTTGTATTCCATAAATAATAATTTCTTTACTTAGATTATGTCTTTTCTATGAGTTGCGGACAAAACCCACCTCAATTTCCAGGTAGATTCAGACACCTTTTTTTTTTGCCCTACAAAAGGTTTAACTCATTTGTTTAGTTTAAGTATATAAATATTGGGGACACAGCTATAATAATAAAAAGTTGTTGGGTGTTCATCTTTTTTCTTTCTGATTAAATAATTGTCCTGGTGTCATCAGGGATATATCTAGGGTCCTTGTGTTTTAGTTATCATTAGAAATATTGCACATTTTTGTTACGTAACCTGATTAATGCCAATGAGACTTTATTCTATCAGAAAATAATGCACACTTGTAAATGCTCACTGTCATGTCACGAAACCTTGGATTAGACGGTCCCATAAACCAGAAACGCTTGGCTTGTGCAGTTAATTCACGGAAGGGACCAAGAAATCTGGGTCCTGTAAATGATGGATGATACATGCTTAAATGGAAGTAAATGACAAATTTTCAAATTTTCTGAAAAATATTATTTCTTCAACAATTTGTATAATATAGTTTTTGAAAGACAGAAAAAGAGAATCACCAGATAAAAATACGATATATGTAGTTATTTATGGAATTGATTGAGAAAGATAAGAGAGAACATATTATTATTATCTAATAAAACAATTATTTTGTATAAATAAAACCATCCCAAAGATGGTGATGGTTGGCTAAGTGCTGGAATCCTTGACCATGAAGAAATTAAGACACAGGGTTGGGTGAGAATCTGCCATGCCTATTGCTTCAATGTGGTGTCTAGTGTGACTCTGCAAAATTGTCAATAGTTTTTTTTTTTTTTTTTCAATTTATTTATAGGCAATGTCAATAGTTAATTCCAGGGGAAACTGGACACAAGACAACCCCACGAGAGATTTAAGGAAAGTGGGGTAGGAACAGCACATGGAAAACAAAAGGGAAATTTATCTGATTATTTATAAATTTATGTTTTCATAGAATTACACATTATTACTAAAAAATTGTCTTGCGTTAAATATATCTCTGGTGATATCATTTTTGTTTAATTAAACTAAACTCTAATAAATATGTTGATATAAAATTTATGTGTTTATATTGATTTACTTTTTTTTCTACCCACAAATGAAAGTTAATATAATGTCATGCCGTTAGTATAAAAAAATTACAGACATATAATAAGTTTCAAACGGTACATTAAACAACATTCAAATAATTCTCTAAGTTAGTGAAATAAACCTTTTTGCCCACTAGGTCCAATTTAATCAACTACTGGGTTTTTTGAGCAGTCAAATAAGTTATAGCAAAATTTAAAAGTCCAGTCAAACGTACTTATTGTTAGGATCAGAGTACCAGCATAAATACACACAACTAAAATAGAGACGAGAAAAATAACCCTGACAATAGGCAAAAATGAAAATTTTATAATGACCACTCTTTCCTTTTACAATTGGAAATTATCAATACTAGGAAAGTAAAAGAGAAAGAAGGAGAAATATTTGGGATGTATGAAATAAGGGGGGAGGGGCTCCTTTTATAAGAAGGAGGAGAGCCCCCAATTGAAGTTCCCACGGATGTGGGACTTCTTCCTTCACAATCTCCCACTTGAAGATTTTGATGAAATTAATCAAATCTTCACACTATGTCTTCTTCTCTCACATCCATGTTGCTTATCCTTCCGATAGGCCATAGAGGATCGACTCCATATAAACTTGTCGACATTAACCTAGGTTTTGTCATTACATCTGCTAGGTTCTTTTCAGTGTGGATCTTCTGTAAGTCTACACTTCCTTCTTCTACTACTTCTCGAACAAAATGATATCTTATTCCTATGTGTTTTGTCCTCGAATGAAAGGCTGGATTCCTTGCAATGTGTAAGGCACTTTGACTATCACAGTACACAACAATTTGTTGTTGCTTGTGACCAAGTTCCCCCATTATTCTTTTAATCCAGATAGCTTCTTTACATGCTTGGGTGACAGCCATGTATTCAGCTTCCGTAGTAGACAGAGCTACCACATCTTGTAACTTGGATAACCAACTTACTGCCCCTCCATTGATGGTAAACACATAACCAGTAGTAGACTTCCTTTTATCCAGATCACCTGCAAAATCCGAATCTACATAACCTCTGACAACTGCTTCTGATCCTCCATAACATAATGCAACATTTGAGGTTCCTTTTATATACCTAAGGACCCTCTTCACATTTTGCCAATGTTCTCCACCAGGATTCCCCATGAATCTACTAACCACTCCCACTGCTTGTGCAATGTCCGGTCTTGTACAAATCATGGCATACATAAGACTTCCCACTGCTGATGCATACGGTACTCGAGACATTTCGATCCTCTCCGCTTCACTGCTAGGACTCATACTTGAGGATAACTTACAGTTGACAGGAAGTGGGGTAGAAATTGGCTTGCAATCTTGCATGTTGAAGCGCCGCAAGATCTTAAGTAAATAATTCTTTTGAGAAAGCCAAATCTTCCTATCTTTTCTGTCTCGGTGAATTTGCATCCCTAAAATCTTGTTTGCTGGTCCCAAGTCCTTCATATCAAACTCCCTAGCCAATTGTGCCTTCAATTCTTGGATTCGAGCTTTGTTAGGGCCTACCACCAACATGTCATCCACATACAACAGCAATATGATGAAATCATTTTCTTCAAACCTATTGTGGTAAGTACAATGGTCCGAACTTAGTCTGTAGTATCCGAGGCTAATAATGAAGGAATCAAATCTCTTATACCAACACCTTGGCGCCTGCTTTAGGCCAGTATAGAGATTTGTTCAACCCGCAAACCAAGTTTTCTTGCTCTTTGAAGCCTTCGGTTGGAGCATATATATTTCCTCTTCAAGTTCTCCATGAAGAAAAGCAGTTTTTACATCCAATTGCTCAAGATGTAAATCAAATGCAGCGACACATCGCCAGGACAATTCGATTGTTGTCAATCTAACAACTGGTGAGAATATCTCGTTGAAATCAATGCCTTCTTTCTGAGCATATCCTTTTACCACCAGTCTAGCACGATATCTTTCTACTTGATCATTGGCATCTCTCTTGATCTTATAGACCCATTTGCAACCAATGACTCTGCGACCTTTTGGAAGTTCCACAAGATGCCATGTCTTGTTTTTATGAAGAGCTTCAATTTCTTCTTCCATAGCGACCATCCATAGAGGAGCTTCGAACCACTCACGGCCTCTTGAAAAGTTGAAGGTTCTCCTTCTTCACTTAGGAGACAATACGCATCATGACTTGTCATCACATATTGTGAATGCCAAGATGGTCCGACTCTTTCTCTTGTTGATCGTCGGAGTTCTCCTTCTTCCACCTCATTTGGCTCATGTTCTTCATGCTCCTCCTCCGACTCGGAGGAATGTTCCGAAGTCTTCTTCTCTATCTCGTACTATAGTCTTGTCCTTTTCCGAGCTGTCATTTATCTGCTTGCTTTGCAGTTCATTTTCTGCAAAGACGACATCTCTGCTAACAATAACTTTGTGGGCAGTGGGATCCCACAAGCGATACCCCTTCACATTGTCAGCATATCCCAAGAAGATGCATTTCCTGGATTTTGGATCCAACT